TGAAATTTTAACCATTGAGTCGTCTCTCTAGCTCGTATTGTTTTGTTGTTTTTTGAGACATGGTTTCTCTGTGCAGTCTTGTCTGTCCTGGGACTCACTCTGTAGACCAAGCTGGCCTTGAAATTACAGAGATCCACCTGCCTCTGCCCCTTGAAAGCCCATCTTCCCTCCCTCCCCCAAGACAAGGCCTAGAGTAAATGAGAAGGGTAAAGGTGTGTGTGTGTGTGTGTGTGTGTCCCATAAATGAAAGGATAATTGAATACTTCAATAAGAGTGAAGATAATTCATTACTATACTTCCTTAATGGGTAGTGGGTCAATGAAGAAACTGTAAACCAAGTATAATATTCCTCCATTGTCTATTTCCATCAATAGGTATTTGAATCTTACTGAATCTTACATATAAGCATTGTAGTGTAATGACGGTTGGTTTGATGACCACAATGACTGTTTAGTTATTAGCAAGTAGGTAGTGGATATAGCATGAGTATACTGGGAAAGTAATGATTTACTTATCTGATATGATAGAGTAGGAAGGTATGAAATTTCAACAACAATTAGGATAATGGGCAGTGTAAAACATATGAATTACTTATTTCTGGGGTTTTCTAGGTTTGGATTGTGGTTGATAATGTGTTTCTGAAACTTTGGAAAGCAAAAGTATGGAAAAGGGGAGGGAGGGTTACTGTACACAAAACAAAAGCAAAGTTGGGGATATTATTGGCTTGATAAAGATTATAAAAATGTGATCAACAGTGATATCACAGTGAAGGCTTAGCTGAAACAGACATATATCTGTTAAGGCTGTCTTAAATAAGGAGCAACTATGAATGGGCGTATAAAGTGTGGAGCTGTAGAAGAAGCTGCTCACAGAGAAAAGCTTAGGCTTGCTAGCTTCATTCCTGAATTCTACCAGCTATCTGAAGACTCATGACTAATTTTTTACAAAGTCTTTCAACATTCAGCTTATTTTATAACGTTCATACCAAAGTCTGACACCAAAGCCAGACAAGATATTCACAAGAAAAGTACAGATTAATATCATATTTTGAACACAATTCTCAACAGAATACTTAAAATGGAGCCCAACAGTGTATCAAAAAAGACTTACATATTATAGTCAGATGGGATTTTTCCTAGAGATGAAGGATTGGTTTAAAGTCTAAAACATGTTACTGTATTAGTAAAATAAAAACAAAAAGTATATCTTAGTAGATATAGAAAAAGCATTTGACAAAGTCCAGATTTCTTCAGTGTTAAAAACACTCAATCTAGGAATAAAAACGTTTCTCAACGTGGTAGAGCACATCCATGGAAAACAGATGGTTTAGTGGTTATGAGCACTTCCTGGACAACTTAGCTGTTAAAGGTTAAAGGCTAGTCTTACAACCAAAAAAAAAAATTATATATATATATATGAGACTTCCTGCTCTTCTAGAGCACCTACCTGTACTCAAAACTACCTGTAACTCCAGCTCCTCTTCTGGCTTTTGTGTGTACTGAAGCACACCTAACATACTTAAACAGACACAACACGCACATACATATAAATTTAAAAAATTTTAAAGTAACTCTAAAGAGTAATGTCATGTTTAATGGTAAATGGTTGCTTTCCTCTGATGTCTATTCTCCACTTGTTTTACTTTGTATTGAAAGCTTTAACTAGGAAAGTAAAGAAGACATCAATGTATCAAGATTAGAAAGTATAGGTAAAATGATCTGTATAGTAAATGATACTGTATGTCTTCTGAAATAGTGTTACCACTGACACGCTCAGCAAAATTGAAGGATATTTTATTCACAAATCATTTGAAATTGGGTGTGGTGGTACACACCTAGAATCCTAGTACTTGAGAGGTGGGGTTTGAGGTCAGCTTATGAATTATTTCTTGAGTTTTCTAGGTTTGGATTGTGGTTGATTATGTGTTTCTGAAACTTTGGAAAGCAAAACTATGGAAAAGGGGAGGGAGGGTTACTGTATACAAAACTAAAGCAAAGTTGGGCATATTATTGCTCGATACCTTACAACAAAGATTATAAAAATGTGATCAACAGTGATATCATAGTAAAGGCTTAGATGAAACAGACATATATCTACATGAAGCACTGTCTCAAAAACATGAAAACCAATCCAACCAAACAAAACCCTCATAACAGTAATTTGTATTTCTATAGACATGTGGTGAATAACCTAAAATAAAGTTAAAATTTGACTCACCAGGGCAAAAAGCAGATACCGTTTCCTAGTCTCCCAAGAGGCACCAAGCACATATACAGTGCACATACATGTAGGCGTGCATGCATGCACACACATTGGAATAAAGGTTAAAAAAAATACTGTTAGACAAATCAAAACTATAAATTGGAAGTTGTATTACCTTAATTAATTGGGATGTTTTAACTTGTTATGACAGCAGTAGTCCCCATAGTACTAGTCTATAAATTCATTACAATGCTATCAGAATCTGACCTGTTTGTAGAACTTGACAGACGGGTTTTGGCAAGAGTCTGTTTCATGGTTCATAGAGCCTGTTTTCATTGACAGAAGGGGCAAGCAAATAGTTTGTTTTTTGTTTGTTTTTGAGACAGGGTTTCTCTGTGTATTCCTGTGGCTGACCTCAACTCAAAGAGATCTTTCTGCCTGTGCTTCCTGAGTACTGGGATTCAAGATGTACGCTCTGATGCATGACTGTTGTGTCTTTTATTAAGGAATTAGTCTAATTTCTGTGGGGTTTGCCATTATGACCAATTATTATTGGACTCACCTCAAACACAATCATAGGACTTTATATACAAATTTTGGGCAGCCACAAGCATGCATTCTATAGCAAGTGCCAAGATCATTGAAAGATCATCAGACACCATTTGGAAAATTGTATAGACATGTGAAAGAATGAAGTTCACTTTTTACTACATATCATCTACAAACGTTAACTTGGAATAAACTAAGAGAAAACCTGTATAAAACTCTTAGGAACGTAAAATTAAAGATTTCTACATATGATATCAAAAGCATTACAAAAAATACTATTTAGGGCTTCCATTAAAATTAAGACTTTGGAAAAAAAATGATTGTGTGTGTATGTGAATGTGAATGTTTTGCCTGTATGTATGTATGTGCACCATGTGGGTACCCTTGGAAGTCAGAAGAGGGCTTCAGATCCACTGAAACTGGAGCTGTGGGTATTTGTAAGTCACCATATAGGTGTTGGGAACTGAACCTAGGTCCTCTGAAAGAGCGCTGCTCTTAACACTGAATCATCTCTCTAGTCCAAAATTAGGATTTTTAAAGGTTTTTAATCTATAATCTGTTTTTAAAAAAACAAAAAAAAACTTACACTCAATAATGAAAAGTCAAGTAACCCAATTTAAAAATTGGCAAAGGATCTGATAGATTTTATTGATTAAATACATACACAGATAATTGGGCAGAGATGTTGTATTTCATTAGTCATCACAGGATTACAAATCAAAACCATGAGATACCACTTAATACCTTTAACTTCAGTTAAAGAAGTCATATTAGCTAAGATTAGAAAATTGCAACTCACACAAGGTGACAGGCATATAAAACAATAATGGGCCACAAGGTGGTGGCACAGTCTTTTAAGTCCAGAACTTGGGAGTCACAGGCAGGCAGATCTCTGAGTTTGAGACCAGCCTGGTCTACAAGAGCTAGTTCCAGGATAGACTCTCAAGCTACACAGAAAAACCCTGTCTTGAAAAACCAAAAAACAACAAAAACTGATAAAGCAACTTTGAAAGAACAGTGCGCAGCTTTTCAAGTGATTTAACATAGAGTTGCTATGACCCACAAGACCACTCCTAACTATATATGTATGAGGAATTAAAATATGTCTGCACAAACCTTCCTCATAAATGTTTATGGAAGCATAGTTCATACTAGCCAAAAAGTAGAAATAGCTCAAGTGTCTATCAGCTGATAAGAGATAAAAGTAATTATTGTTACCCATGTGTTGGTGGTACACGTCTTTAATCCCAGCACTTGGGAGGTAGAGGCAGGTGGATCTCTGTGAGTTTGAGGCCAGTCTGGCTTTAATCCCAGCACTTGGGAGGTAGAGGCAGGTGGATCTCTGTGAGTTTGAGGCCAGTCTGGCTTTAATCCCAGCACTTGGGAGGTAGAGGCAGGTGGATCTCTATGAGTTTGAGGCCAGTCTGGTCTACAGAGCTGGTTCCAGGAAAGGCTCCAAATCTACAGAGAAACCCTGTCTTGAAAAACAAAAAAAAAAAAAAAAAAAAAAAAAAAAAGAAAGAAAGAAAAAGAATTGTTGTATACATATACAACAGTATATTATTTAACCTATTATTTAACCATAGAAAAGAGTAAAATATTGATAATTTGCTACAGTGAAATCAATCTTAAAGCATTAGGCTAAATGAAGCCTTATCAACAAAAAGACTGTATGTCACATGATTTATTATATGAAATGTCTAAAGAACTATAGCTAATGAGCTAAATGAAGTAGGTTTCTTTTTCTGAGTTAGGGTTTTTCTTTGTAGCCATGGCTGTTGACAAACTCATGGAGATCTGCCTGCCTGTGTCTTCCAGTGCTGGGTTTAAAGGTGTGTGTCACCACCACCTGACCCGAGACAGTTTTCTTTTTTAAGGTAATAATTCAGTCTAGTGATAGTTGCACATACCTGTTAATATAATGAAAACTGTTGACTATTTTATTAAAGCATTTGGAAATAAAATAGGGGTGGTAAGATAGGTGGAGTAAGATGCTTGCCACCAATCCTAGCAGCGCCCGTTCCATTCCCAAGAAGACCATTGAGGTAGGAGGTGAGAACTGACTCCTGCAAGTTGTCATCTGACTTCCATATAGTACACTGACATCCTCCCCCCCATGCATAAGTGAAATAAAAAATTGAAAATAACCACTTTTAGTGTCCCGTGTGAGCACACACATATACATGTGAAAGGCTGAGCTTAGAGAATAATAAAACTCTTAAAACTCATCTGTTTTCTCTCTGTTATAGAAATCATGACCACACCAGGAAAAGAGAACTTTCGCCTGAAGAGTTATAAGAACAAATCTCTGAACCCTGATGAGATGCGCAGGAGGCGGGAGGAAGAAGGACTGCAGTTACGGAAGCAGAAGAGAGAAGAGCAGGTCAGTCCTTGGTGCTCAGCTGTCAATCACCCGCTTCTGTTGTACATATATTATGTTACTGAATTCTTGGATGACAAAGCATTGCATCTCGTTATAAAATTTTAATTGAAGAGTTTGAAAATAAAACAAAGGACAATGAACTTCCTAAAGCTATACCTTAACTTCAGTGATTGTCATCAGCATGCTATGGTTGCTTCATGTTTCTCTATCTTTGCAGTTTTAATACTTAATATTTTAAAGTAAAATTTTAGGGAATACATCTTTTTTTCAATATATTTTATTCAAAAGGACATTTTGGATAATGCTTTTAGGATAATAATCATCATCATTATTATCATTAATAATAATAATAATAATAATAATAATAATAATAATATTGCTAGGTGGTGGTGGCACTCATCTTTCTTTAATCCCAGCACTTGGGAGGCAGAGGCAGATGGATATCTGTTTAAGGACAGCTAAGGCTGTTAACACAGAGAAACCCTGTCTTAGAAAAAAAGGTTTATTATTTTGTTTACATTTATTTAATGCGTGTGCATGATGTTTGTGTGGCATAGTAGGGGTGGGCATATTAGAGCCAAGAATGCATGTGGAAGTCAGAAGACAACCCTCAGAAGTTGGTTCTCTTCTACTGTGTTGGTACCAGGGAGGTGTAGCAAGTGCCATTGAGCCATCTCATGGGCTCCCTTAATTATTATTTATTAATCTTTTTTTTAAAAGATTATTTTATGTGCATTGTTATAAAGGTATCTGATGGGAGATGTCATGGAGCAGGAGTTGTGAGCTGCCATATGGGTGCTGGAAATTGAACCCTGGTCCTCTGGAAGAGCAGCCAGTACTCTTAACCCCTGAGCCATCGCTGCAGCCCCTAATTATTTTTTTAATACGAAAATGTATAGGAAGATAAGGAACTTTAAAATGTTCAAGACAAAGCTGAGTGTGGTGGCTCACAGCTGTAGTTTGAACTGCTTGGGAAGGTGAAGCAGGAACAGTGATGTTTGAGGACAGCCTGGGTTATAGACTGTCTCAAAACAAACAAAACTTGGGGTGACCAATGATTCAGTGGGTAAACTTCTTTTTCCCTTGGCAACCTTATGTCATGGTGTCAAAATATTGGACATGCCGGAATTATTGTTGTTCAGTTTACTGGTGTGTGTGTTTGTGTGTGTGAATATTTTTTCATGCTCCAGTACTATTATAAATTTTCATGCCTCCTTTCTTAACTGTTTAACTTCCTGAAAGCAGAAGCTCAATGTCCATAGTATATAAATTGACAAATATGACTAAAAGCATTTGTAGTTGAAAGTTTACCATACTTATTGTATAAGAATCTGAAATTGTGCTGGGGCTTAATCTTTTAGCTGTGTGTGGTGGTATACCTTTAGTCCCAGTACATAGGAGGCATAAGCAGGCACACTTTTTTGAGTTTGTGACTAGCTTGGTCTACATAGCTAGTTCCAAGTCAGTCAATTACCATGTCTCTAAAAAACAAAAAAAAAAAAAATCTTTGTCACTTGGTAAATTCTGTTTTGTACGGGTAACTAATTAGTGCTTCATGCCTGGTTTGTGAGCTAGTGAAGATGAAGAAAACAGGAATTCATTTGGTACTGTTGATCTTCCCACAGTTGCTTTCTCATCTGTCTGGATAGCTGACTTGTGCCAGCTAAGCTGCTAGGTCTGAGTGAAGTGTAGCAGTTGATGCTGCCAAGTACAAAGTGTTAGCTGCATCTCTTAGTGCCACCCTTTTAGCAGACCAGAAATTAATATTTGTTAGCTAGACAGACACAGCATGTAAATGACCTATTTCTCAGACAATTGAAGCTAAAAATGTTTCCTATACATAAAGAACCTTCTTTGTGTTTATTGCATTATAGATCCTTGTTGACTTAATATGATAGAGTCATGTGGAATTGCCATAAAATTATTAAAAAACAAAGTGGTAAGGAATGAAGGACTGTTTGGTGTTTTTAGTTAAATATCTTCTGGAATAACAGGTTGATGAACTGGATTGTCAGTGTTTGCCATCAATTAGCTTGACTGATGAGTTCAGGTAACCTGTTGTGTATGAGTTAGTCTATAGATGATGATTGTTTGGGTGGTTATGTTTTCTTTCCATGTTCCTACTTTGATATGAGTGACTGGTGCACATAGTAGAGGAAGTATTAAAATACTTGAAAATAAATTAGAGGTTTCCAGGTTTCATTCCTAGATAAGATGCTTTCAGCTCTTATGGATGTTAAATTTCTGAGTAATTTCTTTATATGGGTGAGTTACAATGTCTGTAGGTGTTCCATTGGAGTAGGTTCAGTTCTTATAGCATTCCTTCCATTCATTCTTAGTAGCATAGTTGTATTTCTGTGTACCTTCATTATCCATCACTGAATTGAGTAGCTGCATTCATTTTCTTTTATATACTTTGCTTTTTTCTGGAGTTTTCTTTTTTCTTCTTTTTCTAGATTTGTTTTTAGTTTGAGTGTCTTGCATTCATGTATATATGTATGCATGCACTACCCATGAAGGTCAAAAGAAGGTGCTCTATTCTGTAACTGTAAGCTGCCATGTGGGTGTTATGAACCTGGGTCTTTCAGTCCTCTGCAAGATACTCTCTATGAGCCATCCCTCCAGCCATGTATGTATGTATGTATGTATGTATGTATGTATGTATGTATGTATGTATAATTTATTGCATTTTATATGCCTGTTTTCTCTCTGTGAATGTCTGTGTGCCATGTGCATGCCTGGTACCTGTGGAGGCTAGAGGATGTTCAGTTAGATCCCCTGGAACTAGAGTTGGAGATGGTTATGAATCACTACATAGGTGCTTGGAATTGAACCCAGGTCTTCTGGAAGAGCAGCCTGTGCTCGCTCCTTCCTTCCTGCCTGCCTGCCTGCCTGCCTTCCGTCCTTCCTTCCTTCCTTCCTTCCTTCCTTCCTTCCTTCCGTCCTTCCTTCCTTCCTTCCTTCCTTCCGTCCTTCCTTCCTTTTTTAACCTATTTAGCGTTCTTTAAATTCCTAACATTTACTCATTCCCTTCTATACCTAGGTTATTTAATATTATTTATTATAGCTAGGTCTCATGCAGCTTTGGCTGTCTTTGAGCTTGCTATATAGACCAGGCTAGCCTCTGTCTACTAAATACTGGAATTAAAGACATACATCTCTATGCTTTGTTAATTTTTAATTTTAGAGTTTTAAAAATTTAGCTTTGTAAATTTTTCAATTAATTTGTTGTTGGCTTTAGTATTTTTCTTTGGAAGACTTCCTCTCCGCATTTTTTGCCCTTTTGGGTCAGTTAATATAGCTTATCATGTGTGTTGGCTTTGCTTGTACCTATTTATCGTATTGAGACTTCTTTATTGGGAATTTCTTTCCTTTTTTCTTTTCCTTTGTTTTTGTTTTTGTTTTTTGAGATGGGGTTTCTCTGTGTGTATTCCTGGCTGTTCTGGAACTTGTTCTGTAGACCAAGCTGATCTCAAACTCACAGAGAGAGTTCTGCCTCCCAAGTGCTGGGATTAAAGGCATGTGCCACCACTGCTTGGCAGGCTTTGTCCTTAACCTCATGTTTTTCTAGACCAGTGGTTCTCAACCTTCCTAATGCTGTAACCTTTTGCTACAGTTCCTCATGTTGTGGTGACCTCCAATCATAAATTATTTTTTTTGCCATTTCATAACTAATTTTGCTACTGTTATGAGGCATAATGTAAATATATGTGTTTTCTGATGGTTTTTGGCCACCTCTGTGAAGGGGTTAACTGTTGGAGATCCATGGGTTGGGAACCATTGTTCTAGAAGCATTTACTTCCTTTTGTTAAAATCATTTCTTTAGTAGATTCCAGGAAAGGGTCTGGTTAGATGGCAGTGACTGGCCTAGTATTCACTGTGTAGATCAGGTTGTCCTTGAACTTGTGTCAGTCATGCTGCCTCAGTCTCTCAAGCACTCAGGTTTTCTTAGAACATTGAAACTTTTTTTTTTTCCGTATTGGTTTCCAAATGCTACTACAGCTTCATTGTGTATTTTCTTTCCTTTTTAAACATTTTCCCCATCTCTGAAATGTATAATGATATATGTTGGTTTTTTTTAATTATTCACTGTGATAGGCTTAATTAAACAATTCACATCTTTCAAGTCAATTGTATTACTAACACTCTTTTACTTTTCAGTTATTCAAGCGAAGAAATGTTGCTACAGCAGAAGAAGAAACAGAAGAAGAAGTTATGTCAGATGGTGGTTTTCATGAGGCCCAGATTAATAACATGGAGATGGCCCCAGTAAGTATGATAATAAAAAAGAACTCTTTGGTGTCATGATAAAGGTAAAAGATGTTGGTTTTGTTGAGCTTAATAGACAGGTTAAGTCAACTGGACATGGTGATATCTGTCTATAATCCCAGTACTGAGGGTAGTTTGAGGTTTTTCTTGGCCTCATAGACCCTGTTTCAAAAACAAAACTAAAAAGAAAACATGCTGAAACATCTCATTGTACTCCATGAATGTGTACAGTGTGTGTAAAAGTGAAGGGTGGGGCAGGTGAAATGGCTCAGTGGGTAAAGCCAATTCCCACCAAGTCTGGTTCAGTCTCTGACTCAGGTGGCCGAGGGTGCGGACTGACTTTGTCCTTTGGCCGCCACCTGTGACATGTGTTGCTCCCCCCCCCCAGAGTTCTGATAAAAGCCAACATGTATATATGATTTAGGAAATTAAAGTCTGTATCAGAAGTATTAGATAATTTTGTTGTAACTTTTTTGGGGGTTACATACAAGATACAGAAATTATACTGAAATGGGTCCAATCTGCTGAGATTTCTTGTATAATTGATTAAACAATTTAAAATATATACAATATGTAATGCATTTACGAAAATATTTCATTGAAGGCAATTAGTATGTTTTAAAGATGTATTTGTTTTTATTTATTTATTTTCTTTTTTGGGTGTTTTGAGACAGGGTTTCTCTACGTCCTGGCTGTCCTAGAATTCATTCTGTAGATCAGACTGGCCTCACAGAGATCCGTCTGCCTCCATCTCCCAAGTGCTGGGATCAAATGTGTGCACTACCACCACCTGTCTCTTTTTATTTTATGTATATAAGTATTTTGCTGCATGTATGTAAATTTGTATATGCCTGATACCTGTGTGAGGACAGAACAGGGTATGAATTCCTTAGAACTAAAGGTATATGTGAGCCACATTCTGAGTTCTGGAAACTGAACCCAGGTCCTCTGCAATAATAGCAAGCTCTCTTAATGGCTGGGCCATCTCTCTATTCCCCTGTTTTGAACAATTAATATGTTCTAATAAAATCACATGCTTAAATCTTTGTGGTGCTGGGTATTTAACACAGGGTTTTCAGGGTAGACAACAGCATTGTCACTCAGCCACCACACCCAGCCCTATGTATGGCTTTTTTTTTTTTTTTTTTTTTTTAAAGTATCTGTCATTTCACTTACCAAATATTTTCTTCCCTGGTAACCACTAATAGTCACTTCTCATTTATTCTTTATGAGAATCTCTGTGTGTGAAAGAAAACAGGTTTGTCCTTTTCCCTATACAAATGGTGGCATGTGATGTTTTTTACGTCACTATATAGCTTTCCAATTTACATAAAATGAAGTTCCTTTTAGATTTAACAGTGTAATTCCTTTTGGAATTTTTAATGGAATGAAGTTTTTAGAACATTGAGATTCACAGCAAAGCAGTTACAAAAACAGATGTTTCCTTGTACTTCCCTGTTCTACCTCACCCCCACCTCACATGCACAGCTTCTGCCTTCATGAGCTTCATCATCAGAGTGACACATTGGTGGCTAATGAGCCTGTGTTAAGATACATTTTTACTGCTGGGGTGGAGGAATGGGGAGTGTTGGGGGGGGGGCTGGCACCACATTTAGTCCAGCAGAGGCACCCACCAAGAAAAGAAAAGGGGAAAAAAAAAAAAAAGCCTTAGAGAAGTCACTTACCTCTGAGGTGGATGAACTCAGAACAGAGAGGAGGAGCTTAAGTGTTCATGAGGCAGCTTGGCTTGAGATTAGTCCTCAAGATGAACTGGTGACACACTGACCAATTACTTCTATTTTATAAAATTGAGCTAAGAGAATCACAAAATAAATCATAGATGACACAGGCTCAATAATGAAGCATTTTTATCTTACAACTAGGAACCAGTGAAATTTTTGAAATGGACCCAAAGTTGTATATACTTCTCAAAATAAATTCAGGCCATATCCATACTTTGAAACTAAATGTACTTAATGTAGACCACAATTTGGAAAAATGGACTATTTTAATAATAGGCAATCATTGTTAAATTAATTATAAATGGGTAAAAAAACCAGAAGGCGTATACAGACATAGGTGAGATATAAACCTATTATATAAAAGATCGTAAAGTAGCTATAGCTAAGAAGTATTTCAGAATGCTCTGAGTGAATAGTAACAATAATTATCCCATCCAAGATTTCATTAGAAAACAAATGAAATAGGGTTTTTTGTTTGTTTTGTATGCTGTTGATTAACCCAAGGACTTGAGTATATTGGGTAAGAACTCTGCCAGAGAGCTTTATCTTAGCTCCATGAATGGTGGTCTCAAACATTAATTTGATGAGAATGTATTAAGAGACTGTTGGCAAGACTTTTGTGGGAAATGTTATAGTTTGCCTAAACCAAGAGAGATTAGAGGAGGAAGTGGTTTCCGGAACATATATAACTCCTTTTAGAATTGATGAGGACAGGACCAACATTTTAATTGGTTTGTGGTAAATTTTTCTCAGGCCTTTACGAAGTGTGTCTTTCAGCCAGGTAGTGGTGCACACCTTTAATCCTATCACTGGGGCGGAAGAGACAGACAGATCTCTGAGTTTGAGGCCAGTCTGATTTACATAGCTAATTTCAGAACAGTCAGGGCTACACAGAGAAGCCCTGTCTTGGGGGAAAGGGCAGGGGGTGGGCTTTGCAATTACTAAGGGGATACTAAGTGAATATAGTAATGTTGTTGTTTGGGTTTTTGTATTTTTTTTGGTGGTGTTTTCGAGACTTGTTTTTCTATGTAGTCCTCTTTTTCCTGGAACTCACTCTGTAGATCAGCCTGTCTCAAACTCAGAAATCTGCCTGCCGCTGCTTCCTGAGTGCTGGGATTAAAGGCATGTCCCACCACTGCCCAACCAGTAATGTTTTTTTTTTTTTAAAGAGGTATTTACTTTTAAATATGTACATAAATGTCTCTGTCTGGGTACATACTTGTATGTGTAGGTGCTTGAAGAGGCTGGAAGCAAGATCATATACCCCTGGAGTGGGAGTTACATGTACTTGTGAATAGCCCAATAAGAGTTCTAGGAACAGAACTTAAATCTTCTGCAAGAGCAGTATGTACTCTAAAACTGCTAAGTCACCTCTTCATGCCCTGTGAATGTAGTGTTCTAGATGTATTAGTCAAGGTTTCTAAGAGAAAGAATCAGAGAGAGGGGCAAAAAGAGAAGGGAGTAGGGAGAGGAAGATCCTGGTATTGGCTTTTGTGATGGGAACTGGCAACAAAGTAGTCTGGAGGACAGGTCAGTAGGCTGGAAATTTGGGAAGCATCAATGTTGCAATCTGCGTCTGTGTCTGAATTCCTTCTCTTTTGGGAAACCTCAGTAAAAGGTCTTTAGCTAATTAAGGTTATCCCATATTATGAAGAGCAATCTTATAGTCTGCTCTACTCATTGTCCTGATTTGAATGTTAGTCACATCTAAAATACTTTCAGAGTAACATTTAGACTAGTATTTGTCTAGGTAACCTAGTTGACACTGAAATTAGCTATCAGAACCTACTTATTGCCAGGCATACATACATTTAAACAACAATAACAACAACATATTGAGCTTCAAATAAAGATAACAAAATTGTTCCTTCATCCAAAATGGTGTAACTTTTCTACATAACTAACCTTCTCCCTAGAAGAGGATGCAACAACTTTGGGTAATGTTTGCTCCTCTTGTTGATGTCCTGTAATTTAAATGCCATGATATAAATCTGTATAGCAATAAGAGAGGATATAAAAAGGAAGAAAAAGATAGTTGTTTGCTACATATATAATACTACCAACTAGCTTTGCCCATGTGAAGACATTTGTAGCAGTCCCTTAAACACTCAGGAATCAGTGTTGCTACATTGAAAGTAGTTACTTTTCTAATCTTAAGCAGGATGCTTCATAAATTCCTCTGTAGGAATTCAGACAGGATCTCACTATGTAATAGCTGTTGTTAAATTCTCTCCCTCCTTGCTTCAGTCTTTCTTTGCTGTGGTTTCAGGTATGTGCTACCATGAATGGCTTTCTAATGTGAATTTTTCAAGTGTGATCGGTTTAATATAAACCACATAGTATTTCCAAAACTCAGTGCAGATTTCCTGTCTTAGAACTCTCTCTGTAGACTAAACTGGCCTCTAACTCAGAGATCCACCTGCCTCTGCCTCCCAAGGGCTAGGATTAAAAGCATGTACCACCACTGCCTGGTGCTGTAACGAGCAGTTTTCCTGCCAGCCTGGTCCACAGGTGTGTCAGCCCCAAATAACACACAGAGATAACTCACTGTATTAGTTATAAAGCATGGCTAGTTACTAACAGTTCTTATTGACTAGCTCTGTTTTACATATTAACAAATTTCTATTAATCTAAGGGTTTCCAGGTGGTCTTATCTTACTGGAGAGAGGGTCCGGACCTCTTCCTCTCAAGTCCCTACGTCTTGACTCTCCTCTCTGCTACATCTCCCAGAATCTTCCTTGTCTCCTGGTCCCACCTATCTTGCCTTCCTATTTGCCAACAGTACTTTATTCATTAACCAGTAAGAGAAACATATTTACAGAATGACATCTCCCATCAGGTGACTGTAATCTTTCTTAAAATAAAAACTTTGTTTCATTGTGGTGAATGATCTTGAGAAAGCTAATTGCTGATACTAAGCATAGATTGTAGTAAGAAAAAGGAAGTCCTAATAAAGCACTAACATTGTAGGAAATAGAGTTTTAAAACAAATAATAGGGATTTAAGTACTCAATTTTTGAATTTAGCAGTGGTTAGAATCTGGCTTCTGCAAGACCACCACCAACTCCTTTACTAAGTGTTAGTTGAAGATCTCCTTTCCTATGTGTCAGCCATCAGTGATTGTGTTTGGAAATACTTAATGCTGCCTTATTAATATGTACAATTTTATGTCTCTATACATCTGTTGAAAAATAAATACAAAAGGCAAGGTTATTTGCTTTTAAGGAGATTATAATAAACTGGGAAGTTCAGTTGTTAACAAATAACCAGGAAAATATCTAATAATAATATGAATTTGGTATGTGGTATGCTGGGGCTATGGCATGTCTCAGTTAGAATGCTTGCCTAGTATATATAAAGCTTTGAGTTTAATCCCCAGACTCACATAAATTGGGTCTGGTGGCCATGCCTGTAAGTTTAGTACTGAGAACAGAAATTGGGAGCAAGATCACAAGGTCAGTTTGAGGCGAGCCTGAGATGCAGGATATCTGTTCTCAAAAATAGGAAAGAATAGACTAGAAGTGACTAGATGTAACAGAGATCCAGAACAGTTGGTTTAGATTTAGAGGTCATAAAAAAAGATCTTAAAATTTTTGTTTTATTTTATGCATGTGCGTGTTTTGCCTGTATATATTGTATGAGGCCAGAATGGGCTTGTGAACCCACAGGACTGGCTGTATAAATGGTTGTGAGATGCCATGTGGGTGCAGGGACTTAGATCCTCAGGAAGGGCAACCAGTGCTCTTAACACCAGACCAACTCTCTAGCCCAGCCTTTACCTTTTCTAATATTTAGTTTTGATGATAATAATAGCCGTTCATGTGAGGCGCTAGATGAAGAATGATAATATATGCCTCTTTCAGCATTTACTACTTGGATAGCTTTCTCACTGTCATGAGCTTCTTGTGGTTTTGTTTTTTGTTTTTTAATTTTTGAGACAGAGTTTCTTTGTGTATTCCTGGCTGCCATGGAACTCACTCTGTAGACCAGGCTGGCCTCAAACTCAAGAGATCTAGTTGCTTCTGCCTCCCAAGTGCTGGGATTAAAGGTGTGTGCCAGCACAGCCTGGTTGTCCTGGAACTCACATTGTAGACCAGCCTGGCCACGAACTCACAGAAATCTACTTGCCTCTACCTCCTGAGTGCTGAGAACTAAAGGTGTGCACTGCCACCCCCACCTGGCTTCATCATACTAACTTTTGGAAATGGGTGATTAATTTGATAGCATTGTATGTTTTCTTTCTACTGACGTAATACTGCATTATATTTGCTTATCTTTGATTCAGGGTGGGGTCATTACCTCGGACATGATTGAGATGATATTTTCAAATAGCCCAGAGCAGCAGCTTTCTGCAACACAGAAATTCAGGAAACTACTTTCAAAAGGTAAGTCTTGGATATGTTAATTTTACTTTTTCTTTTAACTTTACTTTTTCATCTCTGTGTAAATTATTCCTTGTCCATAATCCTTTTTCTATAGCTACAGGTAATTTGTTTTGAAGTTGTGTGTTTTATGAGTAGAAAAATAAAGAGGTATACAGATGTGTACAATTTTGAGCCCTGCATTTCATCTCCTTATTTATAGGATCTTGCCAGAAGGGAATATTTCATTTGGGGGCTGTCATGTAAAAGACTTTATAGTAAGTAATAATCAATAGCTTATGCTGACTGAAATTGAGAAGCTCTACTCTTTAGTAAGAATTACTTGAACATTAATTACTGATTTTAATGTTAGCACTTACCACTGAAAGTCAAGTAGAGATTTATTGTGGAATAGGGTAATTCCTCTTTTTGTGTAATTAGTATGAATTGGCATATAGTATTTGTTATTCTGGGCATGTAAAAATCATTCTGAGGTATATTAAAATGTTGGTAGTAAATAGTAAATAAACCATACAGTAGTAAATTATCATTATTTAATACATTAGTTTTTAAAAATATTACTATCTTGAGATAAACGCATTAAAATATTTCCCCCATAACATATACATAAGGTATGACAGTTTGGTAAAATTCTGTGGCATGTCACTTTTTAGCATGGTTTTCCCCCCAAAGGGCATTTTATAAGCACTACTTTTCTATGTGTATTCTAGTTTGCCATAGGCTTCCTTCTTAAAAATGTAATAACCAGAACATAGTCCTGCAGATGTGTTATTACAGTACTTGATGATGAGAGACTTATTTCCTTGTCTTGAGAAGACTATTCCATTTCAATGTCAGTTTAAAAGAACAGTGTTGCCCATGGCATAGTTATATACCTGAATTTCCAGCAAGAAAACTCTTTTCTTCCTGAACTGTAGTTTTGAATGTATTTATATAAATATATATATATAATTTGTTGTTGTTGTTGTTTTGGGCAAAAGCAGCGTAGGGGAAAAGGACTTATTTTACTTAGTTACTTTCTTATTGCTGCGATAAAACTTCCTTTATAAAGGAAGAGCTTCTCTGGGATTTACAGTTCCAGTTGGTTAGAGTTCATGATGGTGGAGGCATGGTAGCAGCAGCTGAGAGTTTACGTCTGAGTTCATAAAGAGGAAGCTGAGAGCACATGGCATGAATGTTATCAGCTGGGGGCCAGTGTTCAAATGTGCGAGATTTAGAGGGAATAAGTCACCATAGCCCACAATCCTTCGTAGATATTCTATATCAAAGAACACACTTCGTGGAAAAAGTGTAGTAGGATCTGTGGGGTGCCTGAATGCTGACTAACAGGCAGGCTTATTATGTTCCCTTGATTTCTCACACTGTTCAGGACCACCTTCCTAGAGAATGCTGCTGCATATAGTGTGGACTGAGCTCTTCTACATCGATTAACAATCAAGATGTAGCCAGGGTTTCAACTGAGATCTCTTACCAGATAATTATGTCAAGTAGATAGAAACCAATCAGACAGTGAACTCATGGATTTTAAAAAATAAAGCTCTTTAAGAAATAAAGATGACTCTGATGCTAAAGGCACTGGGCTCTCTGAGTTTGATCTCTGTAGTGCAAGTGGTGTGAACCAACTCCCATACCCATAGATTATTCTCTTACCTTCACACGTGCCATGCCACATAGGTCTACACCCAGCAAGGCAAACAAATAAATAAATTTAATATATGTACTAAAATATATAATTGTTAAGCTGTGTGCTTAATTGTTTGCCACTTTAGAAGGTGGAGGCAGGAATCTGAGAATTTAAGGCTAGCCTAGGCAACATAGTGAAACCATATCTTAAAATATAAGCAAAATCAATCAATTTTTGTGGTTTAGAAATGTGACCTAATGGTAGACTGCTTGCCTGTGATACATAAAGCCTGGGGTTTAGCCTCTGTGCTGACAGAAACAAAACAACCAAAGGTTGCTTTTGTTTTATTCTTTTGGTTATTGTCATTTTTGGTATATTATTATTTTATACAATGTTTCTGTAATTCAGACTATTAACTAGTTTATCTTTATTGTTTCCAAATTTGTTATGTTTGAGTGATTAATAAAACTGTTGAACCAGGCAAAGGACAAGTGATTAGAATGCCTTCTTTCCAAATCAACATTAAACTAGTTTAATCTTTAGTCAGAACAAAAACATAGGGCCTTAGTGTAGCACACAGTCTGTCCTGTAACTCGCCATGAGGATAATCTGACCTCCACATCTGTCTCAGCCTCTGGAGTGCTGGGATTATTGGTGTGGACCACAACACTTACCTTTTATAGTAAGCTTCTTTGTTGACTTTGCCAAGGATCTCCCTAGGTAGTACTGTTTCTAACTATATTTTTTCTGGCAATACTACATACATTTAAAAGAAAAAGATCTCTACAGGAATTATTGACCTGATTATCTGATATTTCCATTCTGTTCACCCAGTGTTTATTAAATGACAATTTAAATTCATTCTTATAAATCAAAGTGAGATTAATTTGGCAAGTAAGTGTTAATGAATTCTTGCTGGCACTTTCTTGTTAGTGCTGATGTGAAATCCTATCAGTGCATTGAAAATCCTGTCATTCAGGTTCTCTAGGCATAATGAAAACACAGATTGAAACCTCTTGTACTGAAAAAGGAGCAGGGGAAAGTTTATCAGAATAGTAGTAGCAGCTGGTTTTGGATTTCCCTGCTTTCTGAATTTCCTAAAATAGTAGAATATAGGTTCTCCACCAGTGGGTCTTGTCCCATTTGGGGGTTGATCACAGGGGTCACATATCAGATATTTTGCATTTCACATATTTACATTATGATTCATAACAGCAAACCACAGTTATAAAGTAGCGATGAAATAATTTTATGGTTGTGGGTCATCACAACATGAAGAACTTCATTAAAGGGTTATAGTATTAGGAAGGTTGAGAACCACTGTAGCAAAGGTTAATTTTTAAGAATTCTTGAGACCTGGTAGTATAGTTTAGTGATAATGCTTACTTGCTTAGCACGCAAGGTTCAGCGTTGAGGATGTTATACACATGAAAGATTTTGCTTGTACTGCAACAACAAAGAATTCTGCTCTTCCTTCATTTTCAATATTAAAGCTTATATTTTTTGTGATACCTTTCAAGCCACACTACTGACCAAATTCAACATTAACCTTTTTTTTGGGAGGGGATGTATTTTTAATACGAAGGCTGAAAAATGAATGATGAGAGGGATATGGTAACTAATTTTGATCTCTAAAGTCATTATATTGAAATCTTTTATTTTATTTTATGGGGAAAACAGAACCTAATCCTCCTATTGATGAAGTCATCAACACACCGGGAGTAGTGGCCAGGTTTGTGGAGTTCCTCAAACGAAAAGAAAATTGTACACTGCAGGTGCGGATATTTTCATTTCTTGCCTTAGAACTTTGTTTTTGCAAACTTTTTTTTTCTAAGAGTTACTTGATCTATGTGAAGGATTGTTTGTTCATAATGGTATTGGTGATAACTACCTTGTAAACCATATAGGTTTGTTAAGATGTAGGTCCTAATCAATACTTGCTAGAATTTATGTCTGTCTTGAATTTTAGCGGTAGGAATTGTCATAACCAGGAACCTATTCAAGCTATGTGACGTTCTTTGTGGGTAGGATGTTAGACTACTTGTTGGCTTCTCAAGATGGTGTGTATATAACCTGGACTGGCCTAGAAACTCAGTAATCAGACCTGGTCTTACTAACCCTCTCATACACTGAAAGCACACAAGTAAACTTTGCCTTGAGACCTTTTTGCTTTATGTTTGATTTTCTACTAAAGGGACTATACAGGGAGTTTACCACCTTAGGATTGTCAAACTTTGAATATCTGGAATTATAAAAAATACTACTTCTTTTCCTAGGTAAAGTCAAACTTTTGCTACTAATTTGATTGATCTGTAGCAGAGTCCTTAATATCTGTATTATTGACAAATACCAATAATCTAAATTCTCACCTAAGTATTGTATGTAATCTGAAGGACTTAGACCTTTAGACATAACTTGCAGTTACAAGAGTTGGTTAAATTTCAATAGATCACACGAAGGGAGAAATACTTGCCAAATAGTAAAGTAATTCCCACCACTTTTGTCACTCTTGACTGAAACATTTCATAAATGTCAGTTTTGTCCCTGGCTCCTTATTGACTAGGTCATTGCAGGTGACTTGTGAGTCTTAATGCTATGTCATGGTATTTCTCTCCTCCTGCTCCATCTTTCTCTTTATTTTACATCTTTATTGCGGTGATGAATTTCTTCCAGAGGAGAAGGAAGAAATCCAGCAAAGGTAGAGTACTTCTCTGTCCCATCAGTTTTCTTCTCCAGTTTGACCTTTGCCAGTCCCTGTGTTTATTTGAATTAAGATTCTGTTTTGCTTGCTGCCTCCTGGATTATTATAATTCTGGTCTCCATCTAAGTCCAGAATCACCAGACAGTTGAAAAATCATGTTTACCCTGGGAGCAAGGGAAGAGAGATTTTTCTCAGAAGAAGAAGAAAAAAAAAAAAAAAAAAAAATCCAGATGATCCAACACTGCAGAGAACAGCCTGGGCCCCTAAGCAACCTGCCAAGAGAACCATAGGGACCAAAAGAGGAGACTTACTGCAGTTTATCATTTGAAATGGTTGCAGGAAAAGGGAGGTAGGGAAGATGACTTTTTTTTTTTTTAATTATAAATTATAAAAATGTTGCTCTTCAGTCTCTGGGAAAGACATAGTTGAGTGATACCAGTTATACTCTTAGATGGGCAATTTTTATTAGGTGCTTACAGAGGTCTACTTTCTTATGCACTAATGAAATAAAGCAGACCTTCTAGACTTAAAATGAAAAACCTTGAGAAACAAATCTTCATTCTCCTATATACTTGATAAGCAGTGTAGTATATTCATATACAGTGCCCTTTTCTATATCATTTTGTGATTCATAATCTGTTAGAACTTGGTGAAGCCTTCAAAATCTGATTTGCTTTTATCTAAAATTCTAAATTCCACCCTTGTCCAGACTAGTAATTGGGATTAAAGATTGAAAAATGATTCCTCAGAAATTACCACTTGATGAGTTTTTACCTTAACTATCTAATAGTGAGAAATTACCAATCTAGTATTTGTTGTCTCCAGTTTTCCTTCTGCATGTTAAGCACAGCATGGCATTCTCTCTCCAGTCTGAATATTGGGTAACATGGATCACCTCCAAAGCAGTTAAGAGCAATTATACTCAGGGAGGAGCCAGTCTACATAATTGCTCTGCCATGTCTTCAAATAAATAGATGTGTTTTGAAAAGCTTGGAGGGCATTCCTTGCTTTGTGGCTTGGGGGCAGTGCTAAATGTAAGAGAGTGAGTAGCACATCTTTGGAGTAATGTTTTTGCCATTTCTCTGAGAAAGAGACTGATAGTATATGGCACAATTGAAATTGGATAGCTCAGTTTTATTATAAATCCCAGGGCCAAGTTGTTTTCATCCCATAGCTAAAGAACTGAGTTTTAGTGAGCTTCATTACCATTTTGTCTTCTCAAATCAGTGAATTATCTCAAATAAAAGAGCCCAGAATGCCTCCATTGGCACATCATTACCCAGATACTCTCTTGCCATTCCAGCTGAGGTGAATGTGGGTAGAATCTATGCTTTTGGAATTAAACAGTGCCTTAGCCTTAGAGTGTTGTCAAGCTTAGTGACACCCTCTAGCCTTTCGTATGAGACTGGTCTGCCTTGACATGTTCTGTGGGATCACTTGTTTGAGATCAGGGCCAGCATCTTTATACAATCTTCTGCATTAGTAAGATGCTGTGTTGCCAGACATTTCATACGTTATTATCTGGAAACAATAAATTGTTTCCTGATTTTACATATTACATGGCACTCCTCCAAAAGTTGTAAATTTGAATAAAGTTGGCTTAGGTTTTTTTTTTTTTTTTCCCTCCCCCTTCTTGGCTTTCTTGTCCCCTCTGGAAGCTTAGTATGATAAACTGCAGTAAACCTTCATCCTCTTTACCCTCCCTGTCTTCACTGATTGATCTCTATCTTTCCTGGAGGGTTGCTCAGATACCTCAGGTGCTCTTCTCTGCAGAGTTTGATAATCTGGGTTTATTTTTCTGATATGAGCCTTTCTTTTCACTTGCTCTCCAGGTGAGCCTGGCATTTGCTAGGAACCAGAGTGGAACCGGCAAAGTGGCCAGCAACAGAGTCCTGATCCAAATGGAGAAAGGGAGCCAGGCGTACCTCCACCTGGAGTGGGAAACTTGATAGGAGGTCAGAAGTACTTCAGCTTTGGATTCTCATTTTCCTTATTAAAGGAACTGAGCACCAGAAGGTAGAGACTCAGAAAGAGGACAGAGAGAAACCCTCAAATCTGAAGAACACAGAACACAGTTGTAGCAGTCAGTCCTTATTTAGCAAGTTCCTGTCCAGAACATCAGTGGAATCATAATGTATAAGCAGTTATAGCTACACAGTAGGTTAGTTACTTCCTGTAATGCAGTCCGTGGACTGCTAAGAATATGTTAGTATAAGACTACATAGAGAAAGCTAAGGCTGTGATTATTTTGTCCATGATTTGTTACTTTTGGTGATAACATTTCTTAGATGTTCCCTTTCACTTTTCAGGTTATTCTCTTCTTGAGTTATAACTCAAGAATACTTACGTTATTATTATTGTTTTCTTCGGTTGTTCCTGTCATATCTTTATGTGTTTGTATTCACCATTAGTTTGATCATACCTGTTTACAAACTTTCTCTGATTGCATTTTATAAAGTCTAGTATCCAAGGTCAAAATATTAAAGCAAAGTTGTAAATCTTAGTTAAATATACTACATACTATGAAGAAAGGGCATCTAGGTAGCTTACGTCCAAGTTTCAGAAGGTATCCCTGCATGTTAAGCAGATTTGATAGTGGCTTTCTGCCTTTCTCACCCCCACCTACACACACACACACACACACACACACACACACACACACACACACACACACACACACACACACACCACACACTCACTCATATGCTAAAACTACTTTTTAATTTCCATTTTGGTGTCTTCTCTGCATATAAGTGATCATCATTATGATTATGTACTAAATATAAGCATGGGTCTGTCACATTAGCTTTTGCAAAAGCATACCTAATAACTTAACATCCATGCTCAACTGTTGCTCATTTTTTTCATTTTCCTAATCATAATCACAGTTGTGTTTTTCTGTTTGGTATTCATATGAGTAGGCTTTTGATTATTGGAGTTTCTCAGAGGCCTTTATTGATAAACTCAGCCAGCACTATGAACCCAGCACCATTACTATTCTAGTTGATTTTTTTTCCAGTGTTAATTCTTTAATATGTTTCTTATGTTATCAGGGTATTACTGCAATTTGCATCAAAATCTGACTGCAACCCTTTTTCTCATGGATATGTAGTATCCACAAATGACGTGCTCTTTCCAGATCACTTTTCCTCAGAGTTTTTAGCTTCTACTTGATCTCTACTGGCAATTAGTTTTTAAACTTTAAGCCTGCCTTCTAGTCAGTTTGCTGATTTTTTCTTACATCATTTGACTTGTATTATAACCAGTTAATTTTAATAGTGAGTTTACATAAACTACATTTTAGACAACCTCTCCTCTGTAGTGAAATAAATGTGGTATACTGTTTGAAATTTCTTTCTCTAGGTGGTAGAACTAAAAGCATTTGAAATGTCTATGTTTTAGAGAGATTGAAAATAGTTTGAACATTTCTTTCATTAGTAATTTAACTAGAGATAAATGTATAAAGTGCTCCCCTCCCCATGATATTTTGAGTTTAATTTTTAACCCCTCTAACAAAGTCTTTGTTGATGTAGTTACGTGTGAGTAAGTTGTATAGCATTAGCCAGAGTTTCTGCTTTTAGAGGTGTCTTTGAGAGCCTTTATGTTCTGATGTCATTTTTCCAACTATAGACCCAATCATGATGAAGACCCCCTTCACTGTATACATTACTCTTAAAAACAAGCAAACCAAAGAACCCTCAAGGGACAACAAAGAACACTTAGTTTCTCTCATGTTCACCTCATTTCTTCTGTGAATTTATTGTCAGTCACCTGGATCAGTTCTGCTACCTTCAATGGATTGAAGGTTTAATTTTCCTTATGACTATTGCCTTTTAAAAAATTATTTATTTTGTGTGTATGCAAGTGCTCTATCTGCATATACATCTGTACACCAGAAAAGCATCAGATCTCACTACAGATGGTTGTGAGCCACCATGTGGTTGCTGGAAATTGAACTCGGACCTCTGGAAGAGCAGCCAGTGTTTTTAAGCTCTGAGCCATGTCTCCAGCCTAACAATTCCCTTTTAATTAATATAAAAACTTAGAAAATAATTAACTACAATTGTATTTTTGATGACTTGTAATTCATCTCTCATTTAATGTTATACTACTAAACAGAAGTGTAACTTTTTTTTGGCTGCATACATTATTCATTAAAGAATAAAGAATGGTGAGAGGAATTAACCTAAAATTCAGGGATCTTGACAGAATATAGGGATATAAACTTTCATCTTTGGATTTTTTTAATGTTAAGCTAAAGAGAAAGTTATAATGGATAATATGCTATATTTTGTTGGCCACGACTTTCTTCATATTTTCTGCTCAGCAATGCTGTAATGTACATTGACTTACACTCAATTTACCTTTGCCACCACCTCTTCATCTTCTCTTCTTCCTCCTTTTTTTCCTTTGTCTTATCTCTGTTATGAAACTTATCTTTGGCTGTGCATAGTTGAATTGTCTTTTATCCTTCCTCTTAGGATGCATATGGGAGGCTTATCTCTGATTTCAAGGCCAGCTTGAACTCTATATATATATTTACACATATATATATATATAGAGAGAGAGAGAACTCTAGGCCAGTAAGGACCACATAGTGAAACTCTGTCTCCAAGGGGCCAATTATTTTAAAGAAAAAAAAAAGAAACTTATCTTTGGACTTGGATTTGAAGCCTTCTCATCTATTAGATGTTCTTATATTCTGAAGCAGACATTGCTATTGATTATATACCTGTTAAGTTCTTTTTATCTGTTTAACTTACAGAATCATTTGCCTTTTTCATTTGTAATTGTATAAAATACATTTTATGCTAATGTTCTCTTTCTATTTCACTTTGTCTATCCTATAGAAATTATTTATTGGATCATAAAAACAGTACCACAGTTCAAGACCCAAAGGAACATAGACTGTTCATTAGAGTTGTTTGTCATCTAGGCCTGTCCATATAAGAAATAATCTTGTCATTTTGTCCAGCGATGAGCATACATGTATTAATGTACTTAACTCCATTTTAACCTTTTAATCCAAGGAAATGGAGTGTTACTGTATTTTGAAGCACATTATTTGTCATTTTATTCCTTTGATTAAAAGTTTTGGGGTTCACTGAGTGGTGATGCTGCCCACTTTAAATTTCAACACTTGGGAAACAAGGGGGATGATGGGTTTCTGTGAGTTCGAGGACAGCCAGGGCTACACAGAGAAACCCTGTCTTGAGAAACAAAAGCAAACAACTTTTTCTATGTTGGAAATCATTGTCAACTCATGGAACATACTTTTTCCCCTGTGTCTCTAAAAGGACTATCCTTTGTTCTGAAATTTTAGGCACTTTATAGAAATTAGTTTTAAATTAACACGATATTTATAATAAATCAGTAATGATCCCAGACTCCTTTTAATGTATTGCTTTAAGTAAACAACCTTCTAAATTTTAATAAGATAATGAAACTTGCTTTTGTCTTTGTAGTTTGAATCAGCTTGGGTCCTGACAAATATTGCTTCAGGAAATTCCCTTCAAACCCGGATTGTGATTCAGGCAGGAGCGGTGCCTATCTTCATTGAGTTGCTTAGCTCAGAGTTTGAAGATGTTCAGGAGCAGGTAAAAATCTCAACAGAAATGTAGAATACACCTTTCACATAGTCATACCCAACTTGAGTTTGATTACTTAGTCATAATGATTAAATAGAAAAAATCGAGTATTTCCCTTCCAACCATGGGCTTCTTGCAGATTTTAGCTGTCTTTTTTTTTCTTTTTAAGTCAATCTCTAATGCCAATCTCTATTGTTACTATTAAAAGTCTTTATCATTTCTTCAGAAAAGGCAGAAAGCAGACTTTGTTACTGCCAGCCTTACTTTATTAGGATAAATCACTGCTAAGTGAATATGATTTTCTTTTGTAGTTTTGAGAGAATTAGAACACAATAAACTACCATACTTAGATGTATACACCTATGAAGACTCGTTTGGAATTGCATTCACTACCTTCACAAGTTTAATAGATGTGTCTATATTATTCCAGCTATCTGCTTACAGTTTCCTGTTGTAAGCAGCCTAAAGTACATTTTTAATTCACCAATTAAGCCATTTAAATCGCTGTTCTGTTAAAAAAAAAAAAGACTATATAAAATACTAATTATGAGCGAGGACAGGATCCTTTAAAAATAATTGGTTCCAGACTTGGGGTATAGCTTAGTTGGGGGAGCAGTTGTTCAGTTCCCGGCATGGGGAAAAAAGTTTGTTTTTTTTTTTTTTTGTTTGTTTGTTTGTTTCTTTCTTTCTTTCTTATTAGTAAAGCTTTTACTTTACTGAAATAGCATTCCCTTCTATTTATTGTGCATAATCACATTTTCTAACTTTGATTCTATAAATGGTTTGACTCCCTGATGAGTGATTTTAAGAACAATAATAGTAGTCCTTATGTAACATCTTGATTTTTATAAAATGTAACTCTGATATGCTGGCATCTCTTTTTAAAGAATTAAGAGGGAATGAAAGTATTCAACTTTATTGATGAATAACTCTTTCACAGGCAGTCTGGGCTCTTGGCAACATTGCTGGAGATAGTACCATGTGCAGAGACTATGTCTTAGACTGCAATATTCTTCCCCCTCTTTTGCAGTAAGTCTCCTTTCTCCTTCTGAATAATGAATATATGAGAAGTATTACATCTTGGGATGTCATTTTGTGTTTCCTAGTGTTAAATGTGATTCCAAGTATTTTCTTGTTACATTGTTAGTGTGATGTCTGTTAATGAAATTCTGAAATATTGTGTTAGAATTGATGTTTATCTCAAAGAATAATTTAGGAAAGGAATTAATGAATTATGGAAAAAGGTTAAAGATCTCTTTAGCAGTAGTACTAAATATTTTCTTTAAGAGAATTAGTATCTTTCATAATTTACTGTGGATTTATTACACCTATAGGTTATTTTCAAAGCAAAACCGCTTGACCATGACCCGGAATGCAGTATGGGCTTTATCTAATCTCTGTAGAGGGAAGAGTCCACCTCCAGAATTTGCTAAGGTAAACACTATGCTTGTAGGAAATTGTTAGGGGACTGTTGGAAAGTGTTTTTGTAGAGACAAAACACTTTGGTGTTTTTTTGTTTTTGTTTTTTTTGGGGGGGTAATTTTTCACTGCCAGTACAAAGCTCTGTATCACTCTTAGAAACATAGTAGTTTTTATCAATAAGATAAGAAAGTTCTGCAACAGAATTTTCTAGCTGTAGTATTTGAATGTTCCTTTCCCTCCTTTTCTTTAAGTATGTACTTAAAGTTCTAATTTAAGGATTAATGTATTACATTTTTCTTCCTGAAATCCTTGGGTTCTGACTACCTTAGGCCAGTAAACTAAGTACTGATTACATTGCCAGAGATTGAAAAGTCCTTCAGACACTTGAAGTGTAAATTGTTTTGTAATTCATCAGTGTCTGCCTGATAGGCTAATTGAGAGTCTTAATCTTACTTCAGTTTGTTCCTGTTGAATTTCTTTCTAATCATCTTTTCTTTTCTAGGTTTCTCCTTGTTTGAATGTCCTTTCTTGGTTGCTGTTTGTCAGTGACACTGATGTACTAGCTGATGCCTGCTGGGCCCTGTCATACCTGTCTGATGGACCCAATGATAAAATTCAGGCAGTCATCGATGCAGGAGTATGTAGGAGACTTGTGGAGCTTCTGATGTAAGATGATCTTTAAGAAAGTATATCTGTGATAAACTACACCAGAAGCAACTTAGAGAAGGAAGGGGGTTATTTGACTTTCACTTCCAGGTCACAGTCTGTCACTGAGGGAAGCTAGGGCAGGAACTGAAGTAGAAACTGGATGAATGCTGCTTACCTACTGGCTTGTTTTCTGTCTTGCTTCCCGGCTCATGCTCAGCCAGCTTATCACTAGGGCTGGTATTGCTCACAGGACTGGGCCCTGCCCTATCAGTCATCAGCTAAGATAGCCTCTCACAGACATGGCCATAGTCCAGTCTGTTTTGGGTAGTCCCTTAATTGAGACTTACTCGGGTGACTGTTAGGCTGTGTTAACACTTTACAGTTTTCCATATTTCTAGTACTTTGGTTTGGTTGTGTGTGTGTGTGTGTGTATACACTTTTTTTTAACTGATTTATTATGCATTGGCTGATTATGTCTTGTTTATATTGATGCCATTTTTTTGTGACTTAATAAAGAATCTATTATTCCAGTGCCATTATAAGTCTGTTAGCAGAACTATTTGAAAAGCTTTGCCTATGTAATTAATTCTATGTGTGTTGTTCCACTCTGCACTGGAAAGCCTAATCAGGTACCAGAAACCAAAGGCAAATTTCTGTGGTAAATGGCCATTTCTTACTTTCTCATTAGAGGAAAAAACAGATTAGTATCAGACTTTGAATCCTACTTTTGTAATGCTTTTGGTAATAGCATGGAAGATTTTCCTGTGGCATTAATAATTTGAGACTATATTAATCAAGCTTTAGATAATACTTAGAACAAAATATAGCTACAATATGGCAAATATTACAGTTATAAATGACATGAAATTAATTGATGAACAAACCATTTATAGAGATAGTATTTTAAACATGATGTGAAATTGGTAAGTGTAACATTACTGGTGCTGATTATAGTCTGGTTGCAGACCAGCAATGTAGTATTGGTACATGTCAAAGGCACCATGGTGCTTCTGGGGTCTAAAAGAATTCAAGATCTGGGAAACAGTCCCTTTTGTCCTTTAATTATTAAGTTTACTACATTTCATTTTAATCGTTGATCTTAAATGTGAAGGAAGAGAATAGGGTCTCAGAGAAAAATTATAAGGGTATTGCTTTATTTACCCTGAAATCTGTACTTACTATTTATCTGTCTTCACATGTACACAACAGCCTTTGTGTAAAGCTTTGGTTTTTTTTGTTTTTTGTTTTTTTTTTATTTAAATCATAAAGAAAACTTTGTAGGTTAGTGAAACAAAAATATTTGAGATGTGAATAATCTCACTTTGGTTTTGAAGTTAGCTGAATTGTTGACATAGTTTCGGAATATGAGCAGTGTTGTCTGCATTTCCCAATCATCTCAGCAGCTCCAGGAAACCAATAAAAGAGAAGAGGGGCTGGGGGCTGTAGTAAAGAATAAGAGAAAAATGCAGAATTTAGTGCTGGAGTACCTGGGAAGATTACTAGGAAAGAATTTACTTTAAAAATAAGGGGAAGACTGCTTTTCTAGGTAATGATTAATTCTGCCACCATGGTAAGTTCCCTAAGTTGCCATAATCATAAAGTACCACTCTAAAATTGAATCACGTCTTCTTAGTTTGGATTCCGTCCCCTAAAAAAAGATTCTGGACAGAACTGTTGGCTCTAATATTTCTGTCTCTGTTTTAATGGTTACAGGCATAATGATTATAAAGTGGTGTCTCCTGCTCTGCGGGCTGTGGGAAACATTGTCACAGGGGATGATATTCAGACACAGGTAGGTATGAACACGTGTTAATGTTTCTCTGAAGGGAGTCTGTTGAAGTTCGTTTTGTTGTATTGAACTCTGTATTGTTAAGGTTGACTGACACTGTTTTGCTGGTGTTGGCTCTTCTCAGTAGCTTCAGGAGCTCTTCATTGTCATTTGACTTGTAGCAGTTGTAGGTTCCTTTAAGAAGTAAGTTTTTGTTGTCCTGTGACTTGTAGCAGTTGTAGGTTCCATAAAGAAGTAAGTTTTTCCTACGTTAGTTTTCTCCCTGCTTTTTTTGTAGTGAATCTTAAGAGCACTGGGTGGGCTTTCTAGCAGTGTTCTTTCTGGCAGCTTCTTCCTTTCGTGTAACTTTCAGTGTCTATTCTACTTTGATAACAAGGCAGGTTATCCACAGGAATTGTTTTAGCTTCCCCCCCCCACCCTCCCCTACACTTCAGATGTCTCTGATGCATCAATGATGATGTCAACAGACTACTTTGGGTCTTTGTCTCTGACTATTTCTCCTTAGGAAGCTCCTTTTCCTGTTGTCATTTTTGTTTGTGGGCATGCTCTAGGGAGCAATCTTCAGCCTCATTTTTGGATTCATAACCCTATGTGCATGGACTTTAAGATTTGAGAGATTTTAGTTATCTCAGTCAGCTTCAATTTTCAGTAAGGTATTCGATAGTTTTACTTTTCTAATCTCTAAAATGAAGGAAATTATATTTATGTTCTCAAGTGTCTTACAGTTTAATGTTTTTAATTTTAGTTTATTCTGTCTACAGGGGAACTCATTTCTCTTTATCTGCTCCTGTTTTAGTTTGCAGTCTTAGTATTTGGCTCTAATAATTGCCCATGCCAGTAATGAAGGTATTAGCTTGATTCTGTTTTCAGCAGTCACTGTTTCTTGTTATTCCATCACTACTCCATCCCTTGCCTTACATAGACATCTTAGACATTAGAAAAGAGAATATATAGTTGATTGTATTTGTATAAAATTTCTCTGGGACAGCACATAAAAAATTAATAGCATTGATTATCTGAAGAGAAATTGGTTGGAGTATAGGTACAGAATGGAAGGGAAAGGAGACTCTGTTCTATGTACTTTTGAATTTTTATATACATTATGTAAATATATTTTATATACATTATATGTAGATATATGTACACATTACCTTTATACATTGTGAATTTTTAAAATACTGTATGTCTGTGTGTATATGCGTGTGTATGCCATAACTCCTGTGTGGAAGTCAGAGGACATCTTTGGAGTTGACACTTGGGAACAGATGTGAAATTTTCAGGAAACTACATAACACCACTATAGAGTCTCCTTACAGAAGTTGAGTAGCATTCACATCACTGTCTCAGGGAGCAGCCGCATGAGGAACAACTCCAAAACACCAATTATAAAGTCTCAGTATCCCCTTAAGTGACTTCTTAACAGAATTCTTAGATTTTAGTTGCTTTTTTTTTGGATCCTACTTACTTGGGGAGTATATTTTCATAATAGCCTTACTCCTAGTCACTGCTCTTGTTCTTCTACATTGAAGATGTAGTAAGAAGGTCTTTATGACAGGTGTTGGTGCTATGGCTGTGGATTTTCTAGCCTCCAGAACTGGGGAAAGCAAATTTCTGCCCTTTTCTTTTTTTAAAGAAAAGACACTTTTAGATATAAGTTTTGTTGTTTAAGCTTTGTTTAGTTTTCATTTATTACTTGTGAAGAATTTTTTTATTTTTAGTTTATATAACTAAGATAGACACTTATTCTAGGCATTGGTGTTTTGCCTTCAATTATATCTATGCCAAGAGCTGGGAACTGAGTCTGGGTCCTCTGCAACAGCAACAAGTTCTCTTGACCACTTTGACCACTGAGCCATCCAGACCATATTATAGTTTTTAATACTAACACCATTGTAGATATGTATTATGGTTTTTTTTTTTTTTTTTTTTTTCCCTTAAAGGACTGATACTTTGGCCCAAATGGTAAAGGCAGTTGCCACCAAGCTTGCTTGATAACCTGACTTTGATTCCTAGGACACGACGGAGGAGATAACTAACTTCTGCAAATTTTTCTCTGATTTCATATGTACTGTGGTACAGTCAAGCCTCTACACATACATCCTCCCTATGAGTAAAAGTTTTTTTTTTTTTAATATCAGAGTTTTTTTTAATCTACATTTGTAGTAAATAAGTTTGTTTTAGGTTTTTTGTTTGTTTCGAGTCAGGGTTTCTCTGTGTCTGCTTTTGAGACAAGAATAAGCTCCTCTTATTACATATCCAGGATTTCAAGCTATCTTCCAGTATACGTTGAGGCCAGACTGTGCTATCTACATAAACACTTGCCAGAACACGTAAAAAACAACAAAAATCCAAAACTAAATGATATTTGAAATTATGCCATAAGTAAAACTTAAAAACCTTTCTTTTCTTTCAGGTAATTTTGAATTGCTCGGCTCTTCAGAGTTTATTGCATTTGCTGAGTAGCCCAAAGGAATCTATCAAAAAGGAAGCATGTTGGACAATATCTAATATTACAGCTGGAAATAGGGCACAGATACAGGTAATGCCATAGCACCTGCCTTTTTATCCCTGTGTGTGAGATACATTTTCAGAAGATTTTATTTATTTCATTTATGTGTATGTGCCTGTTTAACTGTGTGTATACCACATGTATATGGTGCTCTTGGAGGCCAGAGGAGGGCGTTGGATCTCCTAGAACTGGAGTTACAGGCAGTTGTGAGCCCTTTGTGAATGCTGGGAACTGAACCTGGATTCTCTGAAAGAGCAGTAAACAGCTGAGCCATGTTTTTAGCCCCTTTTCTATCCTTTAGTGATAGGTGAAGTTGTTTTGGTCAGCCTTTAATGTACAGTCTTCCTCATTTCTTCTAAAACCACCAACTTTCAGTGTCAATATATCAGTCTAAGATTTTTTTCTTCTGATGTTAGTTTTTTGATACTTAGACCATGTATTTTCTTTTTACCTTTTAAGTTTGCTGATTTCACCAGAGAGAAAAAATAAAACACTTTGTGTTTTCAAAATGTTTTGGTGGACCACATGCTAAATAGGTTGGCTTTACTACTTCTTACTAAACTATATTTTCTAGTGAACCCATGTGTTGGATTGTGTAAATTTTTCATGGACTGTTGAAGGCCTTTTTTTGTTGTTTGAGACAGGGTCTCATTTTGTTGTAACCCCAACTGCTCTGGAACTTACTTTTTAGACCAGGCTGTCCTTAGAACTCAAAAGATCTGTCTTCCTTTACATCTTGAGTGCCAAGATTAAAGATGTATACCACCATGCCCAGAAGGGTCTGTTTTCTTTAACTATACCCTTTTTCAGTCTCTTTCTCTCTCTCTCTCTCTCTCTCTCTCTCTCTCTCTCTCTCTCTCTCTCTCTCTCTCTCTCTCTCTGTCTCTCTCTCTCCCTCTGTGTCTCTCTCTCTGTGGATAAAGGAAATTGTGCTAACCTATGTTAGATTTCTGGACTAGTATCAAGCATGAAGAAGGTATATGAGGAAGACTAGTTATACTATGTAAGTGAGACTGAGGAAAAGTGTGCCAATTATAAGACACCCTAGAGTTTTTGGACAGGGTTTCAAGTGTGTGGCACTGGCTGGCCTGAAGCTCACTGTGTAGACCAGGTTAGCTTCAAACTCAGAGATGTTTGCCTCTCCTGAGTATTGCAATTAAAGGCTTGCATCATTTCCTGGCCCAGGACATTAAATATATTTCTCCTTTATTTATTTATTGTTTGTGTGTTTATATCATACACAGGTAGGCATATGCTATCACTTTGATTTTGAGCTTGCCACCACATTTGGCTTATCCAATAGCTTCTGTGGATTATAACTCTTGGCCAGTCTTGTGTGGTAAGAGCTTTCTCCACTGAATCATCTCTTCTGCCCTGTTGAGACATAAGACCACAAACTCCGTAAGAGTATTATCCATAGTATGAGATATAAGCCTCTTAAGGAGATAATGGGTTTGTGGAATGGCTCAGCATGTGAGAGCATTTCCTGAGTGAGCCAAAACACCTGGATTTGATCCTCAGAACCCATCCCATGGTGGGAGAAAACCAATTCTGTGTCTACGCATTCATGCGTACACATACATACAATACACACAGTAATAAAATAAAAATTTTAAAATGGCAATTGGAAAAACAAACATCATTTGTCAAGTTATTTCAAAAGTTATGCTTTTAATTTCAGCACCTGGGAGGCGGAGGCAGCTAGACTCTTGAGTTGAGGGCCAACCTGGTCTATCTACATAGCAAATTCCAGGCTAATCAGAACCATATAGTGAAACCTGGTCTCAAAAACCAAAACCAACACAAGGCAAGTTAACAGTGACCATTAGTAATATTTTTACATGGTGTAATTTTCTTGTCCTTTTAATTTTTCTTCAATTTCAGACTGTGATAGATGCTAATATGTTCCCAGCTCTTATTAGCATATTGCAAACTGCTGAGTTCCGAACAAGGAAAGAAGCTGCTTGGGCCATCACAAATGCAACTTCTGGAGGGTCAGCTGAGCAGATCAAGTAAGTACTACTTAGGTAGTGTCTCACAAATTAAAGGAAAACAGTTTGACCTCTTCCCACCTACCCACCTCTAATATGTAACCTAAAACAAAAGGTTGATACCCTTGATCACTAAGAAATGAACTTCTTGACTATGAATGATTAAATCTGGCCTCTTGGGAAATTTTTTCAGTGTTATAATGACTCTGAAGTATGTTTAGTCTTTTTCAGTTTTATTTTTAAAAATATTCCAATTCATATATGTATGAGTTTGTGTGTGTGTGTGTGTGTGTGTGTGTGTGTGTGTGTGTGTGTGTGTACATGCAAGTGCCAGGAAGGCTAGACAAATGAGACCTGAGAATTGGAGTTAGAGGTGACTGTGAACTCTCTGATAATGGGTGATGGGGAATAAACAGATTTTCTGTAAGAGTACCAAATGATCTTAACTGCTGAGGTATCTCTGTAGCATCTACATTTAATTTTTAACATGCGTATGTCTGTGTCTCTCATGTTCATAGTTGTAATGGAGGCCAGAAGAGGGCTTCATATTCTCTAGAGCTGGAGCTACAGGCAGTTGTGAACTACCTGATGTGGTGTTGGGAACAGAACTGTCGCCCTCTGGAAGAACAGCATCAATCTTAACTGCTGAGGCATATCTGTAGCCCCTTATACTCAGTTTTTGTTTTTTTTTGTTTTTTTTTTTTTTTTTGTTGTTGTTGTTTTGTTTTTCTGTTTTTTTTTTGTTTTTGTTTTTGTTTTTGTTTTTGTTTTTTTTAAGACAGAGTTTTTCTGTGTATACCTGGAACTTGCTCTCTAGATCAGGCTGGCCTGGAACTGAAGCCGCTGTCTTTTTCTGCCTCTGCTGTACTGGGATTCAAGTATAAATTTGCTAGGACATGTTGATGTCCTAGCAAATTTATACTGTTAATATTACTATAGTGGTATTATGTTTTTAATTTGAGAGTCTTAACTGTTCATAACTGGAATATACAGAGTTAAATTTATGTATTAGCTTTGTATTATGCCTTAGATCATAGACTTTTTTTTTTAAACTTATTATCCAGCCCTGTTTAGACCAGTTTTGTTTTGTTTTTTGTTGCCCCCCCATATACAATAATGAAATAGTTTTCTTCTGTTCCTGTCTATATACCTTTTTTATTTCTTTTAAAAAATAGTTTGAAATGACATGTAGTGTGCAATAGGAGTAGTTAAGAGAGTATCCCTTCCTTATTCCCTATCTTTGTTCTCAAATATGTTAGCTGAACAGTTCTTGTTTTTTGTTTATTTTTGTTTTTTTTGTTTGTTTGTTTGTTTTTTTTAAACAGTTCTTGTCAAGGCTCTTATAGCCCCCCTATCCTTAGTTTGCTGTGATTGTTTTGATTTTAATTGATAATCAAGTGTGGATTTGATTTTTTTTCTCTTAATCTCCATGTCATTATAAAAAGGTGACTTCCCTCTTTATAATGTTGACTTTGTTCTCTTCCTTCTAGAGCTAGATTTATCTACGTATTAAGTTTAACATAGTGTAGAAAGAAAAAGACTAGTGCCAAGTTCCACAATGGCATTATTCACATATTCAAGTTTCAGCTACATTAGTTATATCTCTTGTTTTTTTCCATATACAACTTGAGAAAATAAAATGATAGGTAATTACATGAATAACTGGTATGAATGATATGGTAATCTATTTTTTGCATTCATTATATTTAATCTGGGTTACAGTTAATTTTTTGCTGGAATTAAAAAAAATATAGCTGTAGACTCCATTTGCTTCATTCTTAGTTCACAATATTTGTACTTGAGAAGTGTGAACTACATAGAGAAGTAATGATAACATTAACTCATCAAAACTGTAGGTACTATTTGGGTTGAGGCATAGTGGTTAGAGCCCCTTTTCTACAGCAGGTAATTGCTACATAAGTCTGGTGGATCAGCTTTATTACCAGTCTGACGGCAGAGGTTATCTCCTGGGCATGCTTATTAGGGAGACTTGCCACATCAGTAGGTTCTGTATGTTGGCTTGAAGTACCAGCATCAGTCTTGTGCCTCCACTTTCACTTGGGACTCATGTTATGTCCACATACATCCCTTAGGTGTACCCATATATGTGTAAAACACACCTTGGAACACCTCCCATGTGAAAGGTGGAAAAAGAGCTGAGGGGTGGAGGTGTGCATGCTTTTATGCATCTCAAGGTCACTTGGTTCAAGAGTTCTAAGACAGCCAAGGCTACCCAGAGAAATCCTGCCTCAAAGAAACTGGAATAAAGAAGGAAAACCAAAACATTACTATTGTGATGAATCACTCATACAAGTGGGAAAAATTCCTACTTTCTCCCCAGTACAAAAATTATGACGAAGGGGGCAAAAAGATGTTACTAGATAACTCAGTTTGTTGTGGGGTTTTTGGGGTGGGGGTGGTTGTTGTTTGTACTTGGTGATAAACTATATAGTCGGAGCTGGAAAGATGGTTAAACAGGTAAAGGCATTTGCTGCCAAGCCTTATGACCTTAGTTTGAGTTCTAGGTACTTACTTTATACAAGTAGAGAGCCAGCTGCCACAGATTTTTCTGTCTTCCACCTGCATCCCATGGCACAGTGCCCCTAATCAATCAACCAGTCAGTCAATGAATGTATTAAAATTGTTATTATTTTGAGCTAGGATCTCACTGTGTTAAACTTGGCTGGCCCTGCATCTCCATATGTAGACCAGTATGGCCTCCAACAGACAGATTCACTTGCCTCAGCCTCCTAAATTCTGAGATTAAAGACATGTTCTCTTGCTCTTTTTGTGCTACTTAGTTTCTCTGTCAGCTTGACTAAGCTAGTTGAAAAAATGCCTCCGTTACGTTGGTCTGTAGGCAAGCCTGAGAGGCATTTTCTTGATTAATGATTGGCTGGTGAGGGCCCAGCCTACTGTGGTTGGCATCATCCTGGCAGCTGGTATGAGAAAGGTAGCTGGTAAGTGGTCTGTTGTCCAGTTTGAGTTCCTGCCTTGGTTTCCCTCAATAATAGACTATAATCTGGAATTCTAAGGCAAATAAACTCTTTACTCCTAAAGTGCCAACGTTACAATTTATTTTTATTTCTACAATAAGCTTGAAGATGTCTCACAGATTGATATAAACCTAACAAAGTTAAGTATGACTAAACTGTGTTTTATTGTTGTTGTTGATCCAGGTACCTAGTAGAACTGGGTTGTATCAAGCCACTTTGTGATCTCCTCACTGTCATGGACTCAAAGATTGTACAGGTTGCCCTCAATGGCTTGGAGAACATCCTGAGGCTTGGAGAACAAGAAGCCAAAAGGAATGGCTCAGGCATTAACCCTTACTGTGCTTTGATTGAAGAAGCATATGGTGAGATACTTAGACTGGGTCAGCCCCTGGCTGAGAGTTAGGAAATATTCATAGTTATATGAAACATGAATATAGCAGGCACTGGGGGATACTATCTGGTTTATATTATTAGCATTCACCTGTAATAGTAATAATAATTTCTATATGACTATACAATATTTGTAAGTGAGAATGTTTATATCAAAGAAGTAGACTTGAAAATGTAGTTAACTGGGATTTTCAAGAAAGATTCTTTTTTTTCTTTTTAGGTCTGGATAAAATAGAGTTCTTGCAGAGTCATGAAAACCAGGAGATCTATCAAAAGGCTTTTGATCTTATTGAGCATTACTTTGGGACCGAAGATGAGGACAGCAGCATTACACCCCAGGTTGACCTTAGCCAGCAGCAGTACATCTTCCAGCAGTGTGAGGCTCCTATGGAAGGTTTCCAGCTTTGAAGCAATCCTCTGCTTTCTTGTTCCTGTGTCAGACCAGGCTACCCAGTCAAGTCCTCTTGTGGAGCCCACAGTCCTCATGGAGCTAATTTCTCAAATGTTTTCCATAATACTGTTTGCGCTCATTTGCTTGCCTTGCGCACCTGCTCTCTTAAACACATCTGGAAAACCTCTGGCTCTCTGTGGTGGAATACCCTTTTATTACAAGGGTAACCAGAATGGCCCACTCTCTTATGGAAAAATCCCTAAGCTTTGGAGATCCGCACTTATATTAGAGTCATGGGAATATACACATATTAATGTGGCTCCCTTTTTTGTGGGGGAAAAAGAGGACTCTTCCTCATTCCGTAAAGTGGGGAAAATGACATTAAAGATAAAACTAAAACCTTTATCTTGAATTTTACACAACTACTTGGACAAGGGAGATACTTAGACTTGTGCATACATCAGAGTACTCTTCTCGAGTTCTTCCACAGTGAACCAACCCTTGGAGTACCGGGTGGCTTTTTCTAGCCAATTTGCATTAATCCTTATTGAGATGGGATGGTTTCTTTCCTGTAATGGAGTCATTCTTCAGATATTAAAGTTAAACCATCCACTCCCTCACCTTCAGCCTTCAGTGAATGTGCTTCTAGTTGTCAGGAATGCTGAAGAATTAATACTTTGACTTTTAAATGTGACACTGGCTTTGCAGATTCCCTTACAGCAGAAAGGAGAGGAGCACAGATTAATGTGTGTGGCTTCTGCTTCTCTTTGATTTTATGTCTTTTAGGATTTGGAGGTAGTTCCGTTTTAACACTGGTATGAAGATAAAAGTCCTTAGTAAAACCATGTTCTAAAATTCAGTTAGTCAGAAGAACTCAGAACCCATCACTTTCTCTAAACCAGTGTGACTAGAGGCTGTGTTTCTGCATTACAACATTCAGGCTTTGTGGTCCTGATCAAGGTCCTGGTAAATTGGAGTTCACCCTAGGTGCTTTTCCTCTTTGTGACTGGCAGATAACACATATTTAAATGTTACTAGGGATTTCTTTTCCTTAGTGGAGCACCTTTATCGTTAAAAGCTAACAGTCTCCTCTAAATGACCTCTAAACTAAAAGGGCAGTGATCTTTTTCTAACAACCTCAGTGTTCCCTGCTTTTATTTCATCTCCTAGTAGTACCCTACCTCCCCAAGTAAAAACAGTGCCCACCTCCTGTTTATTTAATGGGGGCTGTATTGCACCTGGAAATGGCGCTTCCAGTACTGTGTTCACTGATCCACATTTTTTTGCTTGGACTAGAAGGGGGGAAAAACAACAAAGAAAGCTTAATTGCCAAGAGAACTGCAAATGAGTACAATTCGACTTCTCGGTGCTAGTTGGCCATCTTGGCTCAATGTTGGAACACTATCAGAGAAGAGCTTTTCTTGATGATACTCTGTTCAAAATGAATTCTGAAGGAAAAGTTGCTCACGTCTGTTTCAGAGCATACCCTTTTAGACTACTCTTCTAGAATTCATTGTAACCCCAAAGTATAAAAACTATCTGGGAGATGCCCCTGACAAGCTATTGCACATCTCTGGTGAATCCTGCTGAATGTAAGGGATATTCAGAACTTTCATACCTCATCATGATGTTATTTAAGCAGCCAACTTATATGACCCAATTTACTTTGAAAAAAATTTATTTCATTCAAACTAGAACATTGCAGAGACAAAGGACTTTTATCAGCCAAGAGTGTGATGCATTCTTGCTCTAGTCTTTAATTGTGTCTGTACTCTGGGATAGATACAGTCTGATGTCTGTTATTGATGGAGCAGGCACTACAAAACTAGCCAACTCCTGTCTGTCCTGTTGTTTTCTAGTGCTGCTTTGTGCTGAGAGAACATGTTAGTTTACTGAACTTGACCTGTACAAGACTGATTCTTTGTAATTTTAGGGATAAATTAGGTGGTTAATTTAAAAATGAACTTTCAATGTTGCCTTTACATCACATTAAAATATCACTTCTTTCAGAAGGGTAATAGAAGCACTGATTCATAGTAAAAATCTTGTTTTTAGCTTTGACTTTTTTGTGGCTTTTTTTTTTTAATTGTAAATTACTGGTAATGTATTTCTGTAGAATGTTTTAAATTATGTACCTTCTACTGGGTAGTTTAAAAACCTTTACATCTTATAAACAAGTTTCAATGAAAAGAAGTACAAAGCACACAGAGTTGTCACCCCACCTTACCAAGAGTATACAGCTGGGACTTTTGTATCAGTTTCAGGGTTACCTAGTGAGGTCAGGTCCATTAACCAGTGCAATCTGTTTTATTGAAAACAGAATAGTTACCTTAAGCATGACCCTAGAAGTTCATGAACTTTAAATATTCTGAACTTTGTTTTTATAGTAAAATGATAAATGTAAAGTTTGGAGTTGGCTAAAGTTAAACCCCAGCAAATTTAGATGTTCTGGAGCAGACTGTTTTGTTTTTTAATACATGTGGAATTTTAAGGGGTACTTGTAAATCCTATTTTTATTCCCTCACCTGGCAAAGTTTATTGATTTAATTTAATCTTTTGAATATTTTTTATCAGAAAGGAGTTACTTATTACAAAAGCATGTTAGTATTTATAACACAAGAAAATCTTATGGTTTTTAGCTAGATAGTGATCAGGGCATAGTGGCTTTGTTTCTTTATCTTTCCCTGTCTTCCTTCAGACTTTTCAAGTATGTATTTTATACTGAGAGCTTTGGTTTTAAAAAAAAAAAAAAATTGCATTCAGAGAATTGAGATGTAAAGATGTTTGGCCCCTGAAGGACCAAGGTAAATATGATTGGATAGAGAAATAACCCAGAAAGTACCGATACTAGATATAAAGAAAAAAGATTTAGGAGACAGTTCTCTGTGGAACACTTTGTTCTTGTCACCAATCAAAGCCATTCTATTGCTCTCATCAGTAGTCCCCTGCTGGAAACTGTTGCGCTAGGGTTGTTTCTTCCATGTACCAGACAAAGCTATTGGACTCTGGGTGATTTTCAGCCTTACTGTCCCATAATAAATCTGAATTATTCCAGTTGCTGCTGATTATGCCTAAGAAAACATATGTAAGTATAATTTGTCAACCAAACTCTGTTGTACATGACTACCTACCGGCAACTTTGATTGATTCTGTAGTGCTAAATAAACATTTCAGCTGTCTGACCCCAGACCTGGGGCTGCATTGTAAAACAGGATTTCCTTGGGTTTCTTTGGGGTTTATTTTATCTCTGATTACTTTTGTGAACATTGTCAACACCAATAAGTAAGTCATTTTAGCTATATTTAGAGGCTAAAACTTTTTACTTAGGTTGGAAATTCTGTTCAGCAATGCCCTATAAGAAAAAGGAGTTGCTTTTTGGGAGGGATGTTTCCTTTCAGGATTCATACATAACTCTGTGCTACCTCCTGCATTCCAAAATTTGATCTTTTGCAGTATCATTTTGACATCTCAGATTAGTAGGACCATTTCCTCCTTTTTTGAAGTAAATAGATTAAGATCTATCTGCATACTTGGGAAATATTTTGGGTTACCTTTTTCCATCATCCAAAATTAGTTAAAAGTAATAGGAGATCAGATGTGACTAAGTGTAATATGTTGACTATCATATAAATGATACTCTAATATTCTTTATTGTTAGGAAAGGACAGGTTGTAAGAGTACTAAGACATGAGGAAAATGTTAAATAAAGTAGACATCAAACTTTATTAATTGTTTTGGTTTTTCAAGACAGGGTTTTTTATACAACAGTCCTGGCTGTCCTGGAATTCACTCTGTAGAACAGGTTGGCCTTGAACTCAGAGATCCACCTGCCTCTGCCTTCTGGAATTAAAGGGATCAAAGGTGTATGCCACCACTGCTTGACTGTTATGTAACATTTTAAGAATATCAAATTGCTGGAGCTGGAGAAATTGCTCTCCTGTTAAGAGATCATCTGTTATGAGAGGTACTCCTCTGAAGAGGATGGGCATTTGGATCCCAGTACCCATATCAGGTGGCTCACATTTGCTTGTACCTCCAACTCTGGGGGTCCAGAGCCCTCTTGGGCCTCCTCAGACAACAGGTGCACTCATGAGGTGCACATGCACACCTGTGAGCAAACATTCAACACAGAAAAACAAATCTTGGCTGGGTGATGGCACACACCTTTAATCCAGTGCTCCAGAGGCAGAGGCAGGCGATCTCTGGGAGTTCCAGGCCAACCTGGTTTCCAGATGGGAGTTTCAGGACAATCAAAGCTACACAGAGAAACCTTGTCTTGAATTTTTTTTTTCTTTAAAGAATCAAATTACTATTGGACATAAAGCTTGAGATAAGAATTAAGGAATATTTGTGGTATAGAAATTCAACTTTCTTTAGGTCAAATAAAAGCAAACCATGTTTATTTGTGTCTCTTGTATGCTAGGTAATTGGCTAAGGGCTTTTCTTAGTTGTTTAAGATGGATAATTATCAATGTGCAACAAGATCAAGACTTTGCTCCATTTTCACAATTCTTAGGTGGTGGCTGTCCAAAGGATAAATTTGCAAGATCTGTTCTTCATGGTCATGCAACATTTCTGTGCCTAGGAAGCTCTGTGCTAGATTTTAATAGTGATGGGTGGGTAAGCATTTTGTACTAGACCCTTCTTTTCAACTGACCCTCATTGGCAGTGCTTTTCAGTAGCCACATCTCACATACCACAACTGCTACTGATTTGTATGTTCAGCTAGATGAAGTGACCCCTCGTTCCCAAGCATCTTTCACCTTCTGTAGGACTAAAATCACATTTAGTCAGACAAGTACAATAGATTTAAAAGAAATCCAAATGGTTGGTTGTGAATTTAGTAACATATAATGGCTGAACTCAGAAACATCTTTTTGTTCAAATGAGAATGTAGAAGGTACTGACAGGGAACAGTTGGGGGATGCAGTTGGGGGATACACCATGGGTGTAACGTTAACCCAGCCTACTATTACTAAAACGTATATTTTCCCATAGACATCTCCATTTATGTCACCTGTTGGGTATTTCCTACCTCAAGACATTTGGCCCTTTCTCAAGAGTGTTCCTACACTTGATTTGGAATTGCTATTCTTGTATTTAAATGCACACTGCTAGGTCATGGATGAATGCTTTGCACATAGTACATTTTCAATAAGTAATGAATGAGGAATATACATCCGTGATAGTAATGGGTGCTTGATTACAGAAGAAAATGCAGAGGAATTCTTTCACACAGTTGGCTGAAATCGTAACTATTAAAACAATTGTTTCAACATAAAGTGTCTCATTTCAATGTATAAAAACGGCCTGAAGTTTACAAAAAGGAAACATTGTCAAAGCAGAAGTCTGTTACATCAAAACAAGGAAAAGAAAAACTATGGGGCTTACCTTGCAGACTAACACACACCCTAGTGTGTTTGATAGAGCAGATAACATTTCTAAAGTTTTAAAAGTTTTGTCAATCTAGAGAGATGGCTTAGTGGTCAGCACTGATTGCTCTTCCAGAGGACCTGGGTCAATTCCCTGTATTCATATGACAGCTCATAACTCTCTGAGACTTCACTTCCAGAGGCCTGGCACTCATACCAATGCATATATAACAAAGTTAAATTATTTTAAAAAGCTTTGTTAATATATCCATATGATGTCGAGGCAGGTGGCTAGTCTGTTGAGATTTTCCATGTTCTTATACTGTGTGTATTGCTGGAGGAAGGTTTCTTTATTTCTCCAGGCTTATGTGACAAATGACCAAAAAGTATATTTCTTTAGTCTGAATGTTTGTACCTTTCTTTTTGAGATTTGCTGGCCAAAGTATTCTTGTGAAAATGTAATCAAAACATAGCTTCAGTTAATGCAAACTGGTTTCTTCTGCAGTACAGAATTCCTGAGTGTACAGATTTATTGCAGAGCTTGAATGATATTTACCCGTACTTCAGGGTCTCATGAAGCCCAGACTGGCTTTAAACTGCTTTATAACTGAAGATACCTTTGAACTTGCCTTACTTCTACCGCCAGAGTGCTGGAATTATGGGCAGGCACCAGCTTTACCCACACTGGAAAAAGTACTAAGTATGCAGGTTCCTCTGTGTGCTTTACATATCTTTACCCATATGCCCTTAGCCCATGGAAGCCAGTGGAATTCAGAAGATTGATTATAGGGGTCACGGCCTTATTTATCAACCATTTGAGCAACAGGTAAGGAGAAAACAAAAACCCAGACGACCAGTGAAGGGGACAAAATAATTCAGGACTTGGGAGTGGCCTGGACAGCCTAGTTGAAAGCATGGAATTTTGCAAGATTAACATGATTATGATGTGTCACGGAAAGAGGTCACCAGTGACTAATGATTTGTTTAAGATGGTATGGTGCATTTAAATTTATGGATTAAGTGACACCTTAATTGTGTTATCTTCTGCTTTAAAAAAAATGTCTGATTTTAGCTGATGTTAGTGATGAATATCCTATTTAGTCAGAATAGGTTTTCCAGATTTGGTGTAGGGTTAGGAACTGGGTCTATAGTCTCAAAAGCTGCTTGAAAGAAGTCAGTCTAAACAGTTAAAACGGAATTGAGGGCCAGGTGGTGGGGGGTGCATGCCTTCAATCCCAGCATTCAAGGCAGAAGCAGGTGTATCTCCTGAGTTCAAGGCCAGCCTGGTTTACAGAGCAAGTTCCAGGACAGCCAGGACTACACAAAGATACCCTGTCTCAAAAAAGCAAAACAAACTAGAATGGAGGAATCTTTCCAAGGCCATCAGTACATCTGGCATGTTTTTGTTTGTGTGGTTGGGTTTTTTTTTTTTTTTTTTTTTTTTTTTTTAATAAAGTTACAACGTTTCTATTTAGAAAGTACTGGGGAGCCAGGGACATGTGCCTTTGGACTGTAAATGAGAGCCTTTGATTTGATTTCTGTAGTGAAAAACTAAAAATGTAGAGGTCACTTTGTCCTATGAGAAGAGTACCTTGTTATAAAAGAATAGATGTGACACTGTCTAGGAACTCAGGTTTCTACTCTGATTGCAACAGCTTTGGGTTTACCCCAAAAGAGCTAAGCAAATCCTAGTAATGGTTAGGACAGCTTGTTAACATTAGAACATGAGTAATGATTAGTAGTCTATTTCTAGCTTCCCCCCATAAGTCCTTGATGCCATTTATACACAAGGTATCTTGCACATGAAGAAGTGAGTTCTTTTTTCAAAATAAAAGCTATGTCTTGACTATACCCACATATCAAATCTGTGCACCTTTTGTCCCTTAAAGATGTTTGTGATATGTGTAGTGGATTAAACATCCAGGACCACCATCCCTCTTAGTTTTTAGGTTGTACCCATCATTTCCTTTTGGTTTCCTAGTTATAAGAAAAATACATAATTACTTGAAATAAAGCCTAAAATTTGTTAAAGTGAAAAGTTTTGATTATATGGCTTCTAACCATTACCCTCTGTCAGAAATCACAGTAGTTGAGGCTTCAGATATGGCTCAGTAGTTCTCTGTGGGTCATGATCCCTTGGTGTTCAAACCACCCTTTTACAAGGGTTGCACGTTTACACATTCATAATGGCAAAATTACAGTTATGAAGTAGTAATGAAATAATTTTATGGTTGGGATCACCACAACATGAAGTGTACTGCAGCATTAGGAAGGTTGGGAACCACTGCACTGGCTGCTCTTCAGAGGACCTGAATTGGATTTCCAGTGCCTACATGGCAGCTCAGAACCATCTGTAACTCCAGTTCCAAGACAAATGGATGCCCTCTTCTGACCTTGAGGGTATTGCATACCTGCCAACAGAACTTACACCAAAAATGAGTCACAGTAATCCATGCTAATGGGAGCAAGGAAGTAATTTTCTTGGGTGTCTCATTCCTGTTCATCCTAGCACTGACAAGGCTGGGTTGAAATTGACACCAGTTCAAGGCTAGTCTGGGCTGTAGAATGAGAAGCTGCCTCAAAGAAAGCAGATAATTCAGTAGGTAAAGAGGCCTTTTCGCTATGCCTGCCAATGAGGACAACTCACAAGGTGGCCTCAGCACCACCCATAGCCCCCACACAATATAAACAATATAAAGGGAGTTCAGCAGTTAAGCGCCTTTGTTGCTATTCCAGAGTACTGAAGATTCCCAGCACCGCCTACTGGTGGCGTTGCAAGCCTTCCAATCACAGCCCTTGGGAGGCAGAGGCAGGTAGATCCCTGAGTTCAAGGCCAGCCTGGCTAACAGAAGAGTTCCTGGACAACTAAGGCTACACTCAGACACCCTGTCTTAAAAAAGCCAAAGGGATGAGTAGGAGGTTCCCAGCACCTATGTTAATAATAACCAAAAAAGACCAAACTGAGATAGAGTTTGGCAGTCAGGAGTGGTAGCAGCCCTGTTATCCTCTGGAAGCTGAGGCAGAAAGGTTGCCTTGAATTCTAAGCCAGACTAGGACACGGTGAAACTGCCTCAACATCTTGGTCTCAGCCCCATCAAAAAATAGGAACGATGCTCTACACTTACCCAGCACTTGGGAAGTGAAGTGGAGCAAGGGTCCCTTTCCTGGTTGGATTATGAGGCTATTACAAAGTGCTAAAGGGAGTAGTGGCAGGCAATTTTGCCTTAACAAGACAGAGCTCTGGATAACCTTCCCACCAACTTGTCCTTTTCTCATCTCAACTATTTTCCATGGAAGCGAAAACTACCCGGACTAAATACCAAAGGTTTGTTGATTTCTATCATCATAACCTTGTTTGTTTTTCGAGACAGGGCTAAACTGTATAGCTTTGGCTGGCTTGAACTCACTCTGTAGGGTAGGCTGTCCTCCAGCTCAGAAGAGATCCACTTACTTCTGCCTCCTCCTAGTACTGGGATTAAAAGGTAAGCACTACTACTGCCAGGAATAACCTTGGGGTTGTTTTTGTTTTTGTTCATTTTCCTCGAGAGAAGGTCGTATAGCTCTGGCTGTCTTGGAACTCACTCTGTAGATCATGCTGGCCTCAAACTCAGAAATCCTCCTGCCTCTGCCTTCCCGAGTGTTGGGATTAAAGGTGTGTGCCATCACCGTCTATAAAATAATTTTAACCCACTAGTTTTGTGATCTTGTGCATTCGCTCTGCTCCAGTACCTTAGACAAGTAAGCAGACCTTGTGACCACCACGCTCAGCATCGGAGGAGGGTAGGGGCAGAGGCCAACTATGTGTAGTTTTCCTAAGTTCCCATGGGCCGCGCCCCTTTCTGCACTTGAGCCTCTCAGCGAAAATCCGGTTTCAGTGTCAGCGGGCTGGGTACAGGAGGACCGGAAGCAAACGCTGGCCTCCTTCAGCGCAGGCGCCGCCCGTCCCGTCCCATTGGTGGATGTGGACCTGCGCTTTGGTGCGCCCGCGGCTCTCCACGAGACTCTTAGATCCTGTTTAATGTGGTGTTTGTCGCAGTCTCCCAAAGCCCTCGGGACAGCCTAGTCCTTTAACAGCACCCGGCAAGAGTACCGATCTCGGAACCACTGTGATTGGTTCTCGGATGCTACCGAAGAAAGCGAGAGGAGATTGGTCCAAACTTTGCAGCCGATTCTGTGCCGACCCTAAAGACGAACCCTTGTTACAAATCAAAACCGCCTTGGAACGGCAAGTTTCATCTTCTCTAAGGCTCCTGGCCTGACGCCTGCGCAAACTGTAGAGCCGGAGCTATGGCGACCCTGTACCCCCCAGCAGAGGGAGTACAGTCGGACCTCTCCTCTGCTACCCAGCAGGAGGAAAAGCCGCAAACACCCAACTATGCTGTCAAACTTACTCTTTCCGGGCACTCGGCGGCCATATCATCAGTTAAATTTAGTCCTAACGGAGAATGGCTAGCAAGTTCTGCTGCTGATACACTGATTATAATTTGGGGGGCATATGATGGGCAATGTAAGAAAACACTCTGTGGTCATAATCTGGAAATATCAGACGTTGCCTGGTCTTCAGATTCTAGTCGTCTCGTTTCTGCCTCAGATGATAAGACTCTAAAGTTATGGGATGTGAGATCTGGAAAATGTTTGAAAACACTGAAGGGACACAGTGATTTCGTCTTCTGCTGTAACTTCAACCCGCCATCCAACCTCATTGTTTCGGGGTCTTTTGATGAGAGTGTGAAAATATGGGAGGTGAAAACAGGAAAGTGCCTCAAAACATTGTCTGCCCATTCGGACCCTATTTCTGCTGTACATTTTAATTGTAATGGGTCCTTGATAGTGTCGGGGAGCTATGATGGTCTTTGTAGAATCTGGGATGCTGCGTCAGGCCAGTGTTTGAAAACACTTGCTGATGATGGTAACCCTCCCGTGTCCTTTGTAAAATTTTCTCCAAATGGTAAATATATTCTCACTGCAACTTTGGACAATACTCTTAAACTGTGGGATTACAGCAGAGGCAGATGCCTGAAGACATACACTGGCCATAAGAATGAGAAATACTGCATATTTGCCAATTTCTCTGTTACCGGTGGAAAGTGGGTTGTGTCTGGCTCAGAGGACAACATGGTTTACATCTGGAACCTTCAGACTAAAGAGATTGTACAGAAGTTACAAGGTCACACAGATGTTGTGATCTCAGCAGCTTGTCACCCTACAGAGAACATCATTGCATCCGCAGCATTAGAAAATGACAAAACAATTAAACTATGGACAAGTGACTGCTAAGGTCTCTGGCAGTCACTGACAAGAGCTAAGTTAGAAGCAAAAGAGAAAGGATGATTTCTCTTAAGTTTGGCATGGTTTTATAATTTGTTTCAAATTGTCTCTGATTGTGTGAGCTTGAGACATTTTAATTTGTGAAATGAAACTACTGTTTATAAAAGCAAGTCTAGGTCCTGCCTTTTGGCAATCTCTTATGTTTGTCCCTGGACAGTGTTTCTTTTTTCTTTCAACAGCTCTCTCAGAGGGGAGGGTATTTGGAATATTTAGGTTGAAAGAGGGTGACTGTGGGGATGAGGAACTTGGGAGTCTCTGCCTTGGGAGGTCATTAAGGACAGTGGCATGAGTTTAGGAGGTTAATGAGAGGATTGGAGACGTTTCACCTGTCACTTGCATGTTTTTGTTGTTATTCTACATGATGGGACATCAGATTGCCAGACTAATCTGTCAAGTTGGGGACAGTAAGCATGGTCAGGTTCATTCTACAAACCTTAATTAACACTTCTGCATGGTTGTGGAGGTTAGAGAACAAATCTCAGGAGCTGGGTCTCTCCCACTGTGAGCTCCAGGTAGTGAACGAAGGCCAGAGTTTCTCAACAGGACCTTTTTTATTCATTGAGCCAACTTACAGGCCCAGAATCTTAATTGTTTTTGAGAAAGGGTCTTGCTATATAACTTTGTAGGCCTGGCTGGCTTATAAACTAGGCTGGTCTCAAACTCACAGAGATCCATCTGCCTCTGCTTCCTCAGAATTTTAAAATTTTAGCTGAAAAAAAATTTCCTTAAGTACTTTGTAAGGTTATGCCATTTTGTGACTTTTCAGGCAAACTACATGTGAGATTATGAGCACTCTTCAGTACTGGACCTCCTAACTCCTGCCCAACATCATTCAGTTTCAGAAATCACCTTGTAAATATGATGGTTGCTTGCCTGACACCTCAGTGGGCAGCTGATGTAGGTTCTCAAAGTTTATAGTTACCAACTTGCAGTTGTGATGGCCATGTTTTCAATAGACAATAAATACTAAGATCAGCTTGTATGTCTTCTTGTCTTTGTAGCCTTGGCTTTTTCTAGATATTTACCAGACAACGAATGATGCCATAACTCCATTCCTTACTTGCTGTCAATAAATTCTCCAAACTATAGTATCAATTAAAATATTTTGTTGTAGCTGAAAGGCAGCTAATCTCTACCATCAACATCAGACCTGTACACCAACTGCATCCACACAGGACTTATTTAGAAAATATAGAAAAACATGCACATGGAAACTCCTCATGAGATTAAGAACTTTAACTGAAAGCAACACGGGCAGGATTTTATCTTCCTGACAAGTTCTGAGAATTACTTGTAGGGGATGGCTGCTAAGATGCTGGTATGTTTGATTATACTGGAAGATAGCATAGCTGAAATTCTGACCAAGAAATTTAAATTTGGGTAGGTGAAGGTACTAGCTGCTAATGCTAAGCCTGATGACCCAAGATCCATCCCTGGGACCGCATAGGAGAGAGCACATTTCTACAGTTGTTCTTGGACTTCAAAATTCATTCTGTGGCATGGGTACCCCTACCCCGAGCCCCCAAGACAAGAAGATTAAAAATGTGAAAAAAATTAAAGAGCTTAAGTTAAACCCACACAGAAATATAGTCATGGTATGTTACTGAATAGAGCAGACACACAATAAAAAGGATTGTAGCCGGGCGTTGGTGGCACACACCTTTAATCCCAGCACTCGGGAGGCAGAGGCAGGTGGATCTCTGAGTTTGAGTTCAGCCTGGTCTATAGAGCTAGTTCCAGGGCAGGCTCCAAAGCAACACAAAGAAAGCCTGTCTTGAAACCCTCCCCCCCCAAAAAAAAATTGTACAAATTGGTGGTATATCTTTATCATGGATTTTAAGACAGACTTCTCAGTGCTCTTCAACGGAAATGACATTGCTACATGAAGGAAGGTCCCTTAAGGGAGATCTGAATTAGAATTTACCAATATTCCAAACATGGGTTTGGAGGGGGTTCCTGAAATATTCAAGAAAAAGAAGTTTTCTAAAAACAAAGGCAGAAGTGCACTGTGCAGACATCAAGTCACTAGATCAGGGTCTACTGGCAGCATGCCAGTGCAAATGTATCTCACTGAGTCCCCAGACAGTGGCATGTGGTGCTTTTAAAATCATACCTATTATCCGAGAAGTAGTGTGTTGGCTGGCTACAATGATGTGTCATCTGTTAGCATTAGGGAGGCATGTGAGTCATTGAGATGTTTATAGCAGAAATTACCTTAATACCAGACACCGTGGTAGAACAAGGCTAATGAAACACATAGGGGTGTAAGTGCTTATTTTCAATACTAACAAACAAGGACAGGGATGGCATTTCCATACGAATAAAATTGAATTCCCTGGGAGTAAGAAAAGGGCTATTTGGGAGCCAAGTCATGAACTAGGAGGTAGCAGCTGGCCCCCAGCAATTCTATGGTGAATGATAAACACCTCAAAACTCTTGGCAGGCAGGCTCCTGTCCTGACTTTGCCAGGGTACTCTCAAAGGCTTTTCTACTTCCTGGGAACCAGTCTCCCCAAAGGCACCCTGGCATTTGGAAGGCTGGCTTCCCAACGTGGTTATCTGGGCAGTGAACCCAGCTAGTCCTTTTGTCCCTTTAGACATGGTACACAGAACAGAGAAGACCCACACTCTTTGGGCCTCAGGATTATGTCAAGCTCAGTATGTGAGTAGGGTACCTGATGCTTCAAAAAGAGTTAATATTAATTTGATATTAGTTGCCTCTTTTTCACTTTTTCTCTGAAAAGCGGGGAGGCTATGTTTTACTTGGATCAAATCGACAAAACACAGACAAGTCATTCTTTAAGAAAATTTATTTGTTCCTCTATAGCAGAAATAGGGAAGTGGAATAAATCTGTGCAAAGCATATGTCTGCAAAGTGGATCTCACATCACATTCTTTCCAATGCAGGCTTGTTATTGCAACCTTATTCCCAGGTTTTCCAAATCCAGCACAAATAATTCTACTCTGTTTTGGCCTTCATAGCTGCCTCCTCTCTCAGACGGGCTTTCTTTTCCAGGTTCAAGCTTGTTAAAGACTCATGCCTTTTTGCTGCCTAAAAGGAAACAAAATTGAAGATGGTTGTGAGCCACCATGCAGTTGCTGGGAATTGAACTCATGACCTCTGGAGGAGCAGAGCCATCTCTCCAGCCTCAGCTTCTACAAATTTTTAACATCAAGTATTTCTTAGCATTCTAGAAATCCACATGTCTATCCACAGGCTTCTGAAAGCTTCAATCTGGAATTATGAAGGAGAGGTCAGATGGGGAGACAGGAAAAATGGAGTAGGGCAGGCTCATTTCCAGAGAACGTCACTCAGGTCAGCACCCTTGCCCCTTTGGGTTCCTGTGAGGCTGGACCGAAATGGCTGCAAGGCACAGAGAGTCAAGAGTTCATTTCCTTTTCACTATGGACTTGCTCAGGGTAAGGAGATCAGTTGACAAGCGTGTTCATAGAAGAATTCTTCTTCTTTTTTTTTTTTGAGACAGGGTTTCTCTGTGTAGCCCTGGCTGTCATGGAGCCCACACTTTGTAAACCAGGCTGGCCTTGAACTCAGGGATCCACTTGCCTCTGCCTTCTGAGTGCTGGGATTAAAGGAGTCCACCATTACTGCTCAGCTGAAGAATCTTTTTAATATGTAACAACAGTTAAAGGATGTCTCTGTGTGAAAGCTATGACACAGAATTAGACATGATAGTCAAGATGTGTTCTTAAATTTAAAAGCATACACACATCCTTTAGAGTTTACTTATTTTTATTTTATGGGTATAAGTATTTGTCTGCATTTATGTACATGTAACCATATGTACATATGTGTTCCTGGTACCTGTGAAGGCCAGAAGAGGGTACCAGAACCCCAGAAATGGAGTTACAAATGGTTATGAGCTGCCATGTGGGTGCCAGGAACTGAACCCCGATCCTCTGCAGGAGCAACAAGTGGTCCTAACCACTGAGCCATCTCCCCAGACCCTAAAGTAACTGTATCTTAATAACAAGATAGTTTAATAGGTCATTTGGGATTAAAGGCGTGTGCCACCAATGCCCGGCTTAATCGAAGTTTTTATATCTTCACTGACTACATGAGTTTTGGGAAATGCATGGTGCACGTGTAGCTTCTGGTTTCTTCAGAATAAAGCACAGCGATGAGAAAGCCTCCCTCTCTCAGGTGCTCACATCCAGTGAGTTAACAGTTGCCGTTGAATGACAAACATTCAGTATTGGGGAGCAATCTACTCTCACCTCAATTACATCTAGGTTCAAATTACTTCTGTCACCAGGGAGACACATGGCTTAGGGCAAGCTGAAAAAAAAAAAAAATACTGTTTTATCCCGGTGGTGGAGGCACATGCCTTTAATCTCAGTACTTGAGAGGTAGAGGCAGGTGGATCTCTGTGAGTTTCAGACCAGTCTGGTCTAGAGAGTAGGTTCTAGGATAGCTGGGACTATTACAGAGAAACTCAGTCTCAAAAAACAAAAAAACAAACAAACAAAATTATGTTACTCATTTTGTGTGCAGGCACACATGCTACCGAGTACGTGTGGAAGTTTCAGGACAGTTCTCAGGAGTTGATTCTCTCCTGCCATCTTGTGGGATGCAGGGATTAAACCCATGTCACCAGGCCTATGCACAAATGCCTGTCTGCTGAACCCCCTCACCAGCCATTGCTAAAGCTTCCTAAACTATGGTTCCCTCATCTCACTGTAGCATCTACTTAGCAAAGCTGTTGTGAGGAACCAATAAGGTCATCACTCAGAAGAGCCTGGCATGCAGTAAGTATTGAGTCAGTAAAGTGATACAAAGTGGCTTCTCAGACCCTCCCCTTCCCAGACCACATGCACCCATCACCGCTTTCCCGTCATTGGGGACGGCATGCAGAGACAGAGAGCAGCTCACTCTTACCTTCTTGCCCTCAATAACCATATAGATGCATCCCACCACTGTCAAGGCGATCATTAAATAGCTGACCTTCACCCGGATCCTGTTCTTTGCAGCATCAAGCATCTCAAACCTAACAATAGAAAACATGATTAACACTTTTCTCTTTGAACCTGCAGCAACACAAAATGTTCTGGACATCACAAGTTAGAAGAACAGTGATGTCTGTAAACACAAAGCAGCTAGTACCTAGGGACCTCATAGCACCCTGGGGATCGCGGGCCAAGTTCATAACTCTTTGGTTTTTGTTTTTGGAGACAAGAGTCTTTTCTACTTTATAGCCCAGGCTGGCCTGGAATTCTTCTCCTCTCAAAAAGTCCTGCTATGAGCTCAAGTTATAGCAAAATATAGTCCAGAAAGAAAACAAACATGGAAGAGCTAATGTTCTTTGTGTAAATAGTCCCCCACTCCCCGACCCCCATTTTAAATTTTATGCACATGGGTAATTTGCTTGACTCTATGTCTATGCACCACGTGTATGCTATGTCTGAGTCAGAGGCCAGAAGAGGGTGTCGGATTTGGATCTCCTCCGATACAGAAGTTATAAGCCACATGTGGGTTCTGGGAAATGAACCTTCATTCTCTGGAAGGGCAGCCAGTGCCCTAAGTATGGAGCCATCTCTGCAACCCTGATTACTCTGAACTTTGATGGGGGGGGGATTAGAAACTATGTTATTAATTTAAAATATTTCCATTTTTATTAACTCATCTAAAAGTGCATTTCATAACAAAACCTATGCTTGCTGGGAACAGTGGTACAGGTCTTTAACCTAAGCAGAGGCAGGAGGATCATAGTAAGTTCCAGGCCAATCTGGTTCACATAGCAAGTTCCAAGACAGCCAGGGCTATGGAGAGAAACCCTGTCTAAAAACAAACAAACAAAAGCAAAACAAACCTTAGGTTTTATTTCAAACAATGCAAGTGTAAGTGTCTTTGTTTATTTTTCCAGCCTCTAATCTAGTGTTTTTCTCTGTCTTAAACCAGGAATATATGTGAGGTTGCCTGAGCCAGGGAAATAATCCCTAAAACAATGGTCCCTTAATGTTAATGTTGTCATGAAGGTTTTGCTAAAATTGAGCAACAGTGGGCTGAAGCCTGTGCTTTTTGACAAGTACCTAGAACGCAGCCTATCTGGTCTTTGCAGTGACTGATTGATGACCCACATGCCTTGACAGACAATTTCTCAGGTAAAAGCAAAGAGGCATAATGCGCCAGAGTCTAAAGAGAACAGAGGGCTGGGTATACAAGATGGATCAGTAGGTAAAGGTGCTTGCAGCTAAGCCCAATAGCCTGCATTCAATTCCCAGGGCCTACATGGTAGAAGATACTTCCGTAAGTTGTTTGATTTCTACACAGATGCCGTGTCATGAGTACCACCCCAAGACACTAAATGAATAAATGTAACTAAAATTAAGTTAGAGAGAAGGCTATCTATCTTTGTGATTCTGTAGGAAGGCAGTGGATTGTGGTTCCACTGGAGTAGCTAGAAGAACAAGACAGGACACAAGGAGTCTAAGTGGGGTCTCCCCAGCAGGTGTGTACGGGAAGAGACTATTTCTAAATAATGGGATTGGAAGCCAAGTGGTGGTGTTGCATGCCTTTGATCCTAGCACTCAGGAGGCAGAGGCAGGCAGATCTCTGGGAGTTCCAGGACAGCCAGCGCTGTTACACAGAAAAACCCGAAAAATAAATAAATAAATGGGATTAGAATGCTTTCTACTTCCTCCCCCCAATATTTAGCACATCTAATATTGAACATAAGCTGATGGGGGAGGTCCTCCTGTATGCTGTGACTATGTTTCTCTTATTGGTTGATGAATAAAGCTGTTTTAGCCAATGGACAGGCAGGACTTAGCCAGGTGGAAAATCCAAACAGGGATAGAGAAAGGTAGTAGGCAGAGAAAAGGATATATCATATAGCTGCCGAGGAAGCAAGAGGCTTGGGCATCACCAGTAAGCCAAGACCATGTGGAAAAACACATATTAATAGTTATATGTTAATAATTATTTTTTTTGTCTTTATTTTTGTTTCTTTTGAGCTGAGGACCAAATCCTTTCAATTTGGAGGCAAGCACTCTACCACTGAGCTAAATCCCCAAGCTTATGGGTTAATAATTAAGAGTTAGCCAATAAATAAGAAGCCTGAGCCATTGGCCAAACAGTTTATAATTAATATAAGCCTCTGTATTTATTTGAGACTAAATGGCTGCAGGACCTGGCGGGACAGAACTTCCATCTACAATAAGCAAGAGCAATGGCTTTCAAAAGCTGCCATGGAGGAGGCATTAGATACAGTGTGATGTACGAGCTGGGCCCATAGGACGGCAGGACTCAGGAACAATTTCTAAAGGTAGTGAATTGTTTAACTGCTTAACTAAATACCATCTGAGATCCCACTAAACAGAAAAACCAAAAATACATCAAAAACCAAACCATTTTAACTTGTGTGGTGGTTGGAATGAGAATGTCTTCCCATAGTCTAGGGCATCTGAATACTTGGTTGACCTGGACCAGCAGACTGATCTTCAATGATAGCTTCCTAAGGGGGAGCATGGGGATAAGAGAATAAACCAGGACAGTAGGGATCAGGAGGTCTTACATAAGCTGATGGTTTAGGCCAAGGCAAGTTTATTAAGAAGTATAGCATATTACAGACAGTTTGCAGCAGGTGGGGAGGGGGAGTTGGAGGATGGGACAGTCAGCAGAAGGCTGTCACACAATGGGATGACATCAGCAGGAAGCTAATCAAGCAAAATCATACAAAAGGAGCATGGGATATCTCAGATGTATCATAGACCAAGCATACAGTGGCCTTGAACTGATAATTCCAGTTTCTTCAGGGGAAAAGCTAGGTTCCCAGGAACCCGAAACCTTTGAGGACCTGCCCTGGGCCCAGACATAGAACTAGCCTTCTTTCGGTCCTTTCATCGGGGCCTCTAAGGGAGTCTTGGATCAGCCTGGCTCCCGGGGGCACTGTTGGGTAGGTTTAGGGGTGTGTGGCCCTGTTGGAGGAAGTGTGAAACTGAGGGCAGGCTTTGAGGTGTCAGAAGCCACCTTTCCCAGTTCACCCTCTCTATTTCCTGCTTACGGTTTGAGATGTGAGCTCTCAGCTCAAGGCTCCTGTCTGTGTGCTGCCTGTTGTTCCTACCATTGTGGACCCTAACCCTCAGGAACTGCAAGCCTGCAAGCCCAGAGCAAACTCTTTATTCTGTAAGTTGCCTTGGCCATGGTATTTTGCCGAAGCAATAGAAAAGTAACTAATACAGCAAGACTTTATGTGCATGGGTGTCTGCAACTGAAGTCTTGTGACCCTCCCACAGTGGCACAGCCTACAATTAGGAAGCCAATTATAAAGGGAAATACATTTCAACATGGCCATGACAGTTGCCACCCATTTCAAAAGGAGCAAGTTTGGTTTAAAGACAAACAAACAAACAAACAAACAAAAACATTTAGTTGGGAAGGAAATGTAGGAATTGGAGGGAAGGGCACACGTAGGTGGCTGAATTAAATAAAAACACATCATATGTATGTGTGAACCTCTCAGATAATGATAATAATAAAACATAAGAGAAGCAGAACCTGCTCAAAGCCACCAGCATAGGACAATCAGTTGCCCAAGCCCAGGGAAGAACTTTCCAGAGTGACTCACCAGGTAGTATTTTGGGTCTGAGAGATCTAGGAACCAATGACAGGGGAGACAAGGTGTGCCACAGCAAACACAAGAGCAGAAATCACAGTCACCCACCCCTCAGGCATAGGCCATCTTGTTTTCGATGGGATATTATCAAGAAACCAGGGCAAAAGCAAGAACTGGGTGCCCCTGCTATTTCTGGGCACGCCCAGTTCTCAGAAGAGGGCACTGTCACTTGGGTTAAGGAGGACTAAGGCTTTCCTGCAGAGATAATATGGGGGCGACAGTGTGTTCTCTAACTCAGCTGGCAAGAGCAGCAGAAGCAGATGTGTCCTATCTACCTGGAAAATATGTGCTGCTCAATCCCAGAGCCAGAAGATCCAGGAATAGTTTCTTGCTGACAGGGAACTTGTATGACGTCCCTTACTCTGAGGAGGATACCCACAGGGGACTGAGTTTCACTGCTGGTCAGTCAGGGTCCTTAGCACGAGACTGAACACTGAGTACTTCCACCTGAGATAGATTTGCCCCCAGGGGACATGTGACAATACCTGGGGACACTCTTGGAGAGAGTACTGGTGGCATCTAAGGGACAGAAGTCAGGGATGTTGTTAAACATCCTTCAGTATACACGGCAGTTCATAAAACCCAAAATATTCCAGTCCAAAGTTTCAACAGTGCTAGCTAAGTCTACAAAATGCTGGCTTAGAGGATCCTGAACATATCACTCAGAAATTCTGAAAAAGCTTAGATTCCAGCCGAGGCTTAAGGAGGCAGGTGAGGAAGAAACCCCTTCCTGGTTACTGGGATAGGAGGTGAGCAGAGTATGAAGAGGGAGAGGCTTATGGAGGGAGAACATCCCGCTGAAGAGTGAGAGGGCGAGGACACTTAGTTCGAAGGAAGTCAAAAGAGCTGAAGACGAGGAGGACCAGGGTCTCTGAAGAACTCCCATGAGATCTCACCTCTTTTTAGGGTCGTGGGACGGGGCCCAGTTTCTAGACAGGGTTCTCAATGTAATAGCTCTGGCTGTTTTTGAACTCACTCTATAGTCCAGGCTGGCCTAGAACTGCCTCTGTTTCCTGAGTGCTAGGACTAATGGTATGCACCACCACTGCCCGGCTGAGGCCTGAGACCTCACCTTTTAAAGTTTCCACCACTTTCTGTGAGTTCCGCCATGTGTGGGCATTTGGAGATGTTTAAGATCCAAACTAAAGCTGCTACATTAAAATACTATCACACCCAAGACTAATTCCTGAGTGGGTTTTGTAGGATGTAGTTTAATAACTACATGATAATTCATTTTGCCAAGCTTAGAAACAAATTAAAATAGCACATATTATTGTTCCCCATGTTCTTGCAGCTAGGATGTGTAGCTAAACATCAGCTGGCTTCTGAGGCCTACAAGATCATCAGTCACTAGGTAATATACTGAACAGTTTTCCAACACTGACTGTTCTGGGTACTTGCCAAAGATGAAAACATGTAGAGAATGAAGAATGTTTCTAAATCTGGTCAAAAGGTTTTAAACAGAGCACAAATACACTCTACTTTCCCCCTCAGAGACCAGTGAGAAACTCAGGCTGTGCACAACCCTCCCAGCACTCACGAGATTGTCTCCGGGATTTCTTCCACCTTCTTGAAGCGCCCTGACCACAATAGTATCTTCTTCTCGAAGTCTGTGGGTTTATGAAGTGGCACTCTGTGTCTGTAAGATTCTGTAGTGAAAACCAGGTAAGATTTTAATGTTTAAATCAAGCATCAGGAAAAAAAAATGCTATTTATGTCCTTTAGTTATCGAGTTAATGGAAACACCGAGACTTCAGGCTCATCCAGAGCTTCATGTGATGTGAATAGGATTGCACAGAATGCCTTCTTTTCTTTTTTAATTTTTTAAAGATTTATTTTATGTGTGCTCTATCTGCATATACACCTGCACACCAGACATGGGCCTCAGATCTCACTACAGATGGTTGTGAGCCACCATGTGGTTGCTGGGAATTGAACTCAGGACCTCTGGAAGAGCAGCCAGTGCTCTTAACCTCTGAGCCATCTCTCTAGCCCCCAGAAGGCCTTGTTTTCAAGTGACATTCCACAGAATCATGAGGAATAAGGTAAAATATAAGCCCTAGCTGCTATAAAATGGAAAGAATACGTAAGAAGAGATAGAGTGGAGAGGGCACCCTGAGGAAGGACGAGAGTGTGCCTGTGTCCTCCAGCAGAGTAAGAAAAAGGCTGTATATACATTATTACATGTATTACATTAGCAGACACTGGACACCATGCTGAGGAATTCACTGGATTTGGAATACACCTTTTTGTTCTTGTTTAAATATAAGCCTGGCTGGTCTGGAATTCACTATACAGATAAGCAAAGCTGGCCTGGCGCTCACAGAGATCTGCTTGCCCCTGTCTCCCAAGGACAGGTATGAAAAAGCAAAAAATTAAAACCATTCATAATGACACTACTACAGAGTGACCAGTATCCTTTAATTTGGGTATGTTTCCTCAGGTTTATCTGGGTGAGCAATGACTTAATATGGATGTACAAGGCTTGTACACACATACAGTATAAAATCTGACATATGAATATATATGTATACAAATGTATGTGTGTGTATATGTGTATATATACATATATATGTGTGTGTATATATACATATATATGTATATATACACACATATACACACACATAACATTCCACAGTAGTAGTGTTATATAAGGAACTGCCAACATCTGCATGTAGTCATTCTGAGTTTCACATCCATATATGTATGAGATACATATTTAACATCTTTATACTCCTAGCCTTTCCCGTATATAGTGACTATTGCTTAGGACAGATCCTGAATCTTGAAAAGGAAATCAGCAGGTTGAAGGGAATGAACGAGTTTTAAGTCCTTTCTATTCACTATGGCATGCAGAGCCTAAGTGCATCCCCCCAGAAGCAGCTTGCAGACAAGCACAGCTGGCACGTTACAGCTGTGCATCGCCCTCCTTCCTGCAGTGGTGGTTTGGGCTTAGGTATGCAGAACAGATATGGCTGAAGTCAGTGCCAAGTCCAAGTCCAGAATTTAGCCTCATTATATCTGACCCCAAACATAATCTTTTAATGAGAACATGAATTTAATCCCCAGGACCCACTTAAAAAAAAGCAAGGAGTGCTGTGCATTGGGGAGGCAGCGGCGTTTGCTGGCCAGCCAGTCTTGCCAAACTAAAGTGGAGAATGGTTGAGGGGGACACCTGATGTTCACCTGTAGCACGCGCACACACACACACACACACACACACAACCACCACCACCACCACCACCACCACCACCACCACCACCACCGTGCACTGTGAACACAACCAATGCATGTCCAGTAAGGAAGGCAACACTACAAGACTGAGCACGATGGAGGAACACTGGCCTACCTCTTCAGGTTCTTTTGATGCCAAATGATTCTAAGGGGTGGGGATGGGGGCTACCCATTCCATAAATGCATAAAGTAATAAACACTTACGGGTCGGGGCTTTGGGGCTTTCCTGTGGCTTGGTGCAAAATCCGTTGATCTTCTTCAAGTCAGTGTTCCTGGTAGACCTCAGAGACGAGGAAGCATTTCTTTCAAATAACCTAAAGCAATGTCCTAGAAAAGAGAGATACAGATTTCAGAGAGAAATCGGATGTTATCTCAAGAAATCCTTTAAGTAGCTAAATGTGGTGGTCCAGGCCTGTAATCTCATCAGGCAGGAGGGAGAGCTGGGAGGACCATCAAAAGTTTGAGGTCAGCCAGGGCTCTGCAGTGAACTTCAAGCCAGCTATATAGTAAGACACTGTATCCCCCTCCCTCCCCCAAGAACAAAGCACAAGTCTGTAAGTTTGCAGCTATATACATAAAATACAAATCAACTCATAAAAGTTGGCTGTGGTGACACAGTACTTTCGAGGTTGAAGCAGGAAGATTTCATTCAAATCCAAGGCCAGCTGGGGTTATGTACTGAGTTCAAGGTGTGCTTGGACTACTCTATCTCAAACAAACAAAACAAGCAAAAATTCAGCTCTCTTAGAAAACACAAGTTAGCTAATTTTGAAAATACAATATATGTAAGGTATATAAGCTATGTGGTAGGAGAGATGACTGGGTCTAAGGTATATACTTGGTGATGTTTCAAAATATAATTGCCTTACTGATTAAGAAGCAAATTTTAGCTGGATGGTACAGGCTTTTAATCCCAGTACTTGGGAGGCAGAGGCAGGCAGATTTTTGTGATTTTGAAGCTAGCCTGGTCTACAAATTGAGTTCCAGGATAACTAAGGCTGAACAGAGAATTCCTGTCTCAACCACTGCCCCCCCCCCAAAAAAAGGAAAAAAAAAAAGATGAAATTTACAGCCTAATATTTTATCAGTAAATTCTCCAAAGGTACTTTTCACAGGTGTCCAATCATGATTACAGTTTGGCAGTATTACTCCTCTATCTCTTAAAGACAAGCAGCTGAGGTTCATTAAGAGTTGAGCTAGAGTTTTGTTGTTTTTTAAGCAAAGTTGTCTGTGCTTCTTGTTGCCCAACACAGAGACCTGGGTGTTTCGGGACATGGTGGCACTTGTTTGTAATCCAAGCACCTGAGAAGAAGAGGCTCAAGGATCAGAGTGTGAGGTCATTCTCTGCTACAGAATGAGTGTAGGGCTGTATTAAGACTTTGCCTCAAAACAGTCTATCCCACCCCAAGACCCACATACCAGTTTTGTCATTTAGTGAACTGACCAGAAGTTCTACCAGCCCAGGATACCCCATTCTACCAGTCCAGGCTACCCCTCAAACCTCCTCATTCATCTTTCCTTTGTGAGCAGCAAAGGATTTTACTATGGATTGCAAGATGGTGGCATTCTTTCCTACAGCATCTGGTTGTCCATAGGCACAGGTTTAGCAGGATCATGGGATAAAAGTTTGCATGCACACACACACACACACACACACACACACACACAGGCGCTGGTGACTCCATTTAAAAGCAGTATAACGAGTGCCACATCAGAGTGCTTCCATTAGTCCTTAAATGTTCCCATCTTTGCAGTGGCTCCTGAATTCCTTCAACACATGATCAGTGGTTGTTGACAGCTCCCTTCCTCTCTGACGACATGTTCCAGACCCACTCTGAATGTTCCCACCCTAACTTGAAATTACACATTCTTCCAAAGGGATCAGGGGAACATTTTTAGAGACCCCATAGGGACATTCATGGTTTGTCATCATCGCTAAGCCTTTTTGTGTCTTAGTGAGGGTTTCTATTGCTGGGATGAAACACCAAAGCAAGATGGGGAAGAGAGGGTTAATTTGGCTTGCACTTCCACAGCATAGTCCATCACTGAAGGAAGTCAGGACAGGGACTCAGACAGGGCAGGAACTGATGCAGAGGCCATGGGGTGGGGGTTGCTGCTTACTGACTTGTTTAGCCTCCTTCTTTCCTTCCTTCCTTCCTTTCTCTTTCTTTCTTCCTTCCTTTTTTTTTTTTTTTTTTTTTTTTTTTTTTTTTTTTTGAGACAGAGGTTCTCTGTGTAGCCCTGGCCATTCTGGAACTCACTCTGTACACCAGGCTGGCCTCAAACTCAGAGATGGAGGGTCTTTTCAGTTGAGGTTTCTTCTTTCAGGTGACTCTAGCTTGTGTCAAGCTGGCATAAAACTGGCCAGCAGAGCTAAGAAATGGATACCTCCTTTAAAGAATACTTTTAAGAAATACATTTTTGTCAGCTTTTACCTTCTGTATGAATAATTTAACTAAGCAGAATTAAAAGGAGAGACATCCATAAAGTTTGATGGGAGTGGGAGAAAAGGGGAATCACCAAGTGAGGTCACGCCATGAGATAGCAGGTCCAATACAGGCCTCTGAGAGCCAGGAGAGAGCAGAAGGGCCCAGGTCCAGGGACATGGAGCATCTAGGAAGTGCCAGTGAGCAGGAAAGAAAGCTGAAGGTGCAGGCGATGAACCTGCTGGGTCCTGGCACTTCCTGGTGCTCTGGAAACAGAAAGGGAAGGCCAGAGGCCACCCTTTCGAGAGCAGGAGAGCACTCACAGCTCTAGGGTAAACATGCATTTGCTAGAGGATTAAAAGCCTGCCTGGTAGTCTGGGAGCCTCTGAGACTGGAACAGCGAGGCAGCTCTAACCATAGTCCCCTAACTCATGGTGTCCACCCCTGAATCCACATGTATAAGGGATATAAAGTTTCTTTTGATGCCTTTGTCTGGCTTGGTATCAGGATAATGTGTCCTCATTAAATGAATCAAGAAGTGATTCAAGGTGGGAAGCTCACTATGTAGCCTCAAACTTTCAATCCCTTGCCCCAGCCTCCAAGTGTTGGGATTACTGGTGTATACCATCACACTCTGCTTGAAAGCTCTGGTCTTGTCTTTCTGTCTTTCCTTCCTTCCTACCCACCCCCTCCTCTCTTTCCTTTTGTGCCCTACTGAAGATTCAACCCAGGGCCATACCAGGTAAACACTTTACATTGGGCTACATCTCTACCCATTCCCCCTTTCTCGAAACAGGGTTTCTCTGTGGCTTTGGAAGCTGTCCTGGAACTAGTTCTTGTAGACCAGGATGGTCTGGAACTCACAGAGATCTGCCTGCCTCTGCCTCTGCCTCTGGAGTCCCGAGTGCTGGGATTAAAGGTGTGAGCCACCACTGCCTGGCCTGTCTTTCTCTTAAAAAAAAAAAAAATGTTGTAAAGGATTAGTTCTAATTGTCCTTAAGTGGGTGGGTCATTAAAAAAAATTTATTCACAAATTTTTGTGTAATTTGCATATATGGTATCCGGAGAGAAGAGGGGATCAGATCCCATTATAGATGGCTATGAGCCATCATATGGTTGCTGGGAATTGAATTCAGGCCCTCTAGAAGAAAAGCCAGTGCTCCTAACCTCTGACCCATCTCTCCAGCCCCTTGGGTCAGATTTAAAAAAAAAAAAAAATTATTTTGACTCAGTTTCAGTTAATTTTGGGCATACAATTATTTTTAGCATTATTTTGTATTCATGTATTTGCCCCCCCCATCTGCTTAGCTTAGGAGTCAGCTAAAAATTGATACAAGGTCTCCCACTGACAAGCCTGCAGTCTTTGCTGCCAGGCTCTAAGGTAATGGAACATGTCTCACCCCGGGCAGGCAGCTCACATCCTTCCCTCAGCTTTTGATTTTTGCTTCCACAGAACTTAAGTGAGGCAGGGGTGAGTCCTGGGCCTTCCTTGGTCCTTCCTGATGCAGATGCATTGACTTTCCTGTACCCCATCCCAGCAGCACACCAGAGCTTGTCACCTTCCCTAGCTTTTCCTTTTAAATGTCTGCACTTACCCAGCTACCACCTCTGCACTATGCTCGACAAGCACCATGAACAGTTTTTCATTACGGCCCAGAGACAAACTGCACAGCTCGGAATGAGGTGAAAGACAAGCTTTGAGAATGGAAGCTTCCTGAAAACTGCTACACAGGTCAAATGATAAGAAAATGCCTGGGGTCCGGGTGGGGAGCCGCCAACCCCCTCGGCCTTGGCCAGCTGCTGCAAAAACTGCCGCTGTGGCTGCTGGTGTTCCCGGCTGCTGCAGAGAGAACAGGACCAACCTGCCTAGTCTCAGGGTTCACTCATTTTTCTCCAATAAATGCTCTTCAGATCACAAGGTCTTACACAATCTTGGTGGTTTTTATGTACACAGTAACAGATTTTCGGGGTCCTTACCCAATACATTAGAGCCAGACCATGTGGCCAGCACTGGGGCCACCGAAAGTGCCTGCTCATGAGACCCCACTCTTTTCACTCCAGGGTCTGATCAGCGCAGCTCTGCCGCAGCCTCGGTGACCGCCTTGGGGCAGCAGCTGTACCGACACCAAATGAGACCAGCTGCCACTGCTGTGGCTTGTTTCCTCATTCTGAATGTGGTGATGCAATATCCAATATGGCAGCACCAGGGCTGACTTGAGGGGGAGCAGGGAAAAAAGTGAGAGCGCATGGCAGGATGTGTGAACTACGGCAGGCTCTACACAGCTCCTTGTTCCCAGTCACTTAAACGCAATCTTTACAGCACCCTTCAGCTAGCCCAGGGGCCGGAAGTCCTGACCGGTGGTTGCCAAGCTGTGAGGTGTGAGACCAGGCTCTGAGGCTCTTCATCATTCTTCAGTGGACACAAAAATAAAGCGCACACTGCTGAGATCCTCACAGCTTAGTAGAGCCTGCTTGAAACAGCACATAGCTACTGACCAATAGCTTCTCTTCTCACACAGGGTCTCATGAGGCAGTCCAGGCTGGCTTTGAACTTACAGCAATCCCCCTCCGTGCTGGTTTAAGAGAATAAACCATCGCACTCATGAGAAATGTGCATTTTTAACAACTCCTAGGGTGTAGGATCTCTGTTGGCAGGACTGCGCTTTCAGAACCAAGTACTGTACCCGTCAGTGGTGGTAAGACATACATAACAGCAAATTTACCACTCCAACCACTTTTCAGTGCCTGACTCAGCTGTACCGAGTAGATGCAGCTAAACCAGGGAGCCACTGGCTTAAAGGGCCCTGTAAGGACACACCCCACACAATGCTGTACTGGTCCTCACCAGACAGACTTTACTCTCCATACAGAAAATGGGGTGAAGGCAGAACTCGTTTCCTA